ACACCGACGTAAGTACACACATTTTCGAAAAAAATTAAAAGCAAGAGAATATTCAATGACTCACAATCCAAAATGAAATTTTTTATAAATTCCGCGGAAAAACGTATAAAAACTACTGGCGGGAGCCGACACGCGGTTTCGGCGAGGAGGGCGCGAGTTTTTCGTAGACGGAAAAGACGAGGGAGCGAACGGTGTGCCGAGGTGCCGAGCGCGGTGAGACTGAGGCGAACTTGGGCCGCGAGCTGCGTGATCCCACGAGTTTAGTGACACCCCCGGCGCGACGCGGCCGCGGCGCCCCGCTCATTCCAGTCGCGACTCTCGGTCAAATGGGGCCCGCTCCTGACCAGAGGTGCGCGCATCCGAGATCGCCATGTATGTTGCGCCTTCCGATTCGTCTCGCTCAACAAGCGCTACACCTGCGGGCTGATTATTGAAATTGATGGACAAAGCTACAGACAAAGATGACATGGGGAGTATGGAGCGATCATATTGGTTGAAACGGGTGGTTCCTATAGACAAAGGGAGAAAATGATAGACTAACTGTCGGGTCTCTCGTGGGTTGCCGTTAGTTCGTCTATTACCTATCTCCTCTGTACATTGCAACCACCCGCTTCCACCAATAGGATTTCTCCATATCTCTTATGTCTCCTTTGCCTATAGCTTTGTCTATCAATTTCAATAATTGTCCCGCTGGTCGGGGAGACATAAATGAGATGACATAGGTTAAAAAGTAGAGCAAGATTGGTCGGCTATGTCTCATCGCTGCTTTATCGTGCCTATGTCGGGTGGAACTCACGACAAGCTAAAGGCACCTTTTGAGTTTCCGACAGTATGTCGACCATTCCACCTGACAAAGGCACAATAAAGCAGCGATAAGAGACCAATCACGCTCCGCCTGTTAACCTATGTCATCTATGTCTACCCGAAAAACACAAAATATCAACAATCAGGCTGCTGCGATGATACAGCCGCAGAGATGAGAATTGAAACATAGATGCCTAGGAAACGCCCGGTACCTGCGTAGGACATTTTAAGTATAAAGTTCTTAGGGTCCAAAAGGGAAACCAATTTTCTAACACAAAAAATGTCTCTGCTAATATTCAGATTCCAATATTAAGCCAAGATGGCCGAGAATGTTCATTAATGAGCGTTCTTCTGCAAAAATGAGTAAAATGCAAAAACCAAGTCAAATACGTGCTTCTCAAACGACGAAGATAATTTGAATTCATAGGTTGGCTGCCCTTTAGGGCCCTAAAAGCTCCATGACTTAACCTTACCGATAAGTCCGTACTCTCTCTGTAAAGGCAATCTAGTCCTACCTACGGGAAAAGTGTTCCAGGTTGTATCGACCAGGTTTCATCTTATATTGCAGGTATGGGCTACAGTGTACACCCTCCCTCTCACTGCTTCGATTTGATTCTGATATTAAGGGTTGAGTTTATGCCCTTTCAAGTAGCTTAGACTCTTTTTCGGTAGCTTTTTCGCGTGAATGACTTTAGAACGTCTCGACGCACTGGGTCTAGAAAATTTTAAATTCATTCCCTAATGATCCAGGTTTTTCCAGGTCTAGACACCATGAATTTATCGTATGAAAATCGTAGCATACGTAAACGTCAGTAATTTGAGATAGACAAAGAGGTGTGATTTGGGTTACTCGTGCGTTATAACACTCCAGGATCCGAAAAGTCGCGCGATTGATTTCCACAACTAACAATGCGAGCATATACACCAATAAAAATATGTGTGTTACTAAACAGCATCCTAACATATAGTCATATGAAAGTCACAAAAAATATCGCGCGAACCGCACAACGGGATTGCCGTTTTCGCACACTGCAGGAACCTTCAAAATCACGTAAAATACAGCTTTCATAACGTTGAGTCGTGTGAAAGTTACACAAAATATCCCGCGAACCGCACAGCGGGATTACAGTTTTCGCACAACCCAGAAAGCTTCAAAATCACGTAAAACACAGCTTCCCAGCGTTCAGTCGTGCGAAAGTCACAAAAAATATCGCGCGAACCGCACAACGGGATTGCCGTTTTCGCACAATCCAAGAAGCTTCAAAATCGCGTAAAACACAGCGTCCTAGCATTGAGTCGTTCGAAATTCACAAGAAATATCGCGCGAACCGTACAACGAGATTACAGTTTTCGCACAACCTAGGAAGCTTCAAAATCGCGTGAAACACAGCGTCCTAGCGTTGATCCGTTCGAAAGTCACAAAAAATATCGCGCGAACCGCGCAACGGGATTACCGTTTTCGCATAACCCAGGAAGCTTCAAAATCGCGTAAAACACAGCGTCCTAGTGTTGAGTCGTTCGAAAGTCACACAAAATATCGCAAGAACCGCACAACGGGAGTACCGTTTTCGCACCACCCGGGAAGCTTCAAAATCGCGTAAAACACAGCGTCCTAGAGTTGAGTCGTTAGAAAGTTACACAAAATAACGCGAAAATCGCGAAAGTCACACAAAATATCGCAAGAACCGCACAACGGGACCGTTTTCGCACAACTCAGGTAGCTTCAAAATCGCGTAAAACACAGCGTCCTAGCGTTGAGTCGTTCGAAAGTCACACAAAATATCGCAAGAACCGCACAACGGGACCGTTTTCGCACAACCCAGGTAGCTTCAAAATCGCGTAAAACACAGCGTCCTAGCGTTGAGTCGTTAAAAAGTAATAGCGTCACCTCAATAATAATACTCGTGTTACTTTTGGTTACTGTAGGAAGTAAAACAGAAACCACCACACCTTTTGTGTGGATTTTGGTACAGTTTGTGGCGAATACATCGCAGAAAACGATAAAGAGACTTGGGAAGTTCATTCCTCCGATTCCGACTTTGGTATTCCTATAAATCTCTTTAAGAAAACTAGTTGGCATTTTCTCTTGAAATTATCAACCAAAGTCCAGGGTTATTCTGTGTTTTAAATCCCGTATTGACAAAACTTTTGTGTTGAAATTCTCTCTGGGTATCTACGTGGATGTACGTCAGTAATTTGAGGCAGGCGAAAAGTTATGATTTTCCTTCAATTTTGCGTGATACTATCGACAGAGCACAGAGAAGAATTTCATGAGCCGCCCTGCGCCGTCCGCAGCGCGCATGGCGCACGACCTGCTTTTCATTATTCCACTTCGTCTGACGTTGAGAGTTCATTTAACACGACCAGTGTGTAATTTTAAAAGTCGAAAATTAAAAAAGAAGAAGAAAAAAAGCTACACGATGGACGCGTTTCTCCGCCAGGGAGCTCTTCCCGCAAGAAATCGTTCACCACACGCCCGTCGCGTCGTCGGGGGCGGGCGCCGCGGCATGCTGTCAGCGCGAAACGCGCTCTGACGCCTACAAACCTAAGGGGCTACTTCACACATTACGCAATGCTTGGAGTATTCCCTTAGGTTTTTAGGCGTCAGTGCACGTTTCGAGCTGGCAGTACGTCGCGCCGCGCCGCAGCGTGCCATGAACTTGCCCACAATTAACAGGTCAGGGTGTTAAAATGTAGGCAATTTGACATAAAATTCGAAATTAGCGACTCAAAAAACATCAGATACGCAACTTTCGTGATCTTTCAGTCATTATCCAACTTATTTCTTCCAATTCTTGAGTTTTGGACCATAGCGCGCCGCGGGTGGGCGGCGGCTTTTGAAATTCTATCCTATGCTCAACCGTGATAATGTATGACTACTCTGGAGTTCGAATAGTTCCGCTCTTGGTGTCCGCTTGGATCAGGGTTGATTCGTTGACTTTTTTATGCAACTTTCCGTGGACATTAAGAAATTCGCAATTATTTCAGTGATACACTGGAAAAAAAAACACACATTGGATCTAGAGTCCAGACTCTTAAAAACATCGACAAGAAAAAATACTCTTGATTCAATTGTATTTTTGCTTAAATCAAGAACCAAACCTCTTAATTTGAGCGGATTTCCTTTTGATTTAAGCATAAATCTGATTGAATCAGGTGTATTTTTTCTTGTCCATGTTTTCAAGAGTCTGGACTCTAGATCCAATGTGTTTTTTTTCCAGTGTATTGTAAGAACATAAGAAATTACATGCGATATTTATCGCAACGCCGCGGGGAATACGCGATTTTCCAGCGGTTTTGTGAAAACCTAAGTCATCGAGCATTTTTCCATGAATGCCGTGGCATTCAGTAACGTCATTGATTTGAAACAGGCGAAAAGGCAAGATTTGCCTTCACTCTCGCGTGATAACACATATTTACTCCGAATTCGAAAAGTTGCGCGTTTGATTTCCACATCTAACAATGGTAGCATAATACCCAGATTCATGAACTTCAGTAATTTGAGGCAGGCGAAAAGCTATGATTTTCTTTCAATTGCGCGTGATACCACATGACTACTCTGGGCTTTGAATAGCTGCGCGCTTGATTTCCACATTCAATGATGCGAGCATAATACCCACGTTCACGAAAATTAGTAATTTGAGGCAGGCGGAAAGCTACGATTTTCCTTCAATTTCGCATGATACCACATGACTACTCCGGAGTTCGAATAGTTGCGCGTTTGGTGTCCGCTTTGACCAGTGTTGATTCATAGAACATGAGTATGCAAATTTCTTTGAACATTAAAAAAGACCGCGATTCATCCTGTGGTTTTGTAAACAATGAAGAAATTATTCATGATTTTCATCTCAGTATCGCGGCAAATACGCGATTTTCCCAGTGGTTTTGTAAAAAAGTGGGATATTAAGCTTTCATCATCTCAATATCGCGGCAGATATGCGGTTTCTCCAGCGGTGTTCTATGAAAGAAGATCTCTCAGGGCTGTTTCCTCATGCCTACGGATATTCCGCGTATGTGTTGTAAACCGAGAAAATTTTAATTGAGCATGGAAGTTGTAATTAAAAAAGGGCCTAGGTGAGAATCAGGTTTTTAATATGTTCTGAAAAAGGTGAGGGTCAACATGTATTCACTGTGCTACTAACAGACCCCACTTACGGAGAGGAAGGAACTTACACTATCATAAAAAAGGCTTGACATGGATAACAGTGGTTATTTATTGGAATGGTATTCAGTGATTGGAATAACAGGATTGTAAAATTACAAAGACACTTAAGATAAATTGAATAAATAAATAAAAAAAAAAGTACAAAAGCCATCAGAGATAAATTAAAAGGGTCCCGATGATTAGAAATCTTTTAGGATGTTAATTGCCTTTTGGCAAAAAGGAAACGTATACTGACGAAAAAGCAGACAATTTTAGGAAAGCTTAAAATTACAGCTTATGCAAGAATTTTGACCACGAACAGAGGAATTTCCAGATCCTGAGAGGATTCTTTAGACATAAAACTCGAGATATGCTCTAGAGGAACTAAGCAGTTGCTATGATATTATCTTTCAGGCTGAAACAAATTTGTAATAAGGACTGCTTTTGAATAGTAAAAAATTATTGAATAAATAGACCACACCAACAGAAATGCAACCTCTGGCTATGTCTGTTTCATTGAAGCAAATATGGGTAAAAAAAAAAAAAACTGTTTATGTCTGCAGATGGTTGATATTTTGGGGAGCTCGATTGTTAAAAAATAAATTTGTTTAACTAAAACGGAGTTTACTTCTCTACATAGAGCTACTAATTTAGGTTCTACCATTTACATTGTAATGAAAATCACATTGACATAACTCAGCCCTCAAATTTTAAATTAGTTAAAAAGTCATGGATTTGGAAAAAAGGGGTGTAAAAATAGCCAATCTCAAAAGGAACAACTTGGGTATAGGTCCTCATAAAGCTCTCACTTCTGTTAGTGAAGTCTCTTTTTTCTATGAAAAAAATTAACCTTCTATGTTTGCAAGCTGAAGACCTGAAAATGTTTTTAAGTACGTAAAATGAATGTGATATCTTGTGTTACTTCAAACTTTTTTCAGTTTTGTTTACGTACATGACCTCAACACAGCCACATGGGAGAAAATACAGACAGTTTTGAACTTTATACAATTTTACTAAAGAGCTCATAACACATGCTCTCTTGAATTTTGCAAGGATAGTCGTGATGGCATAGTCTGTATCCGAGCATACAAGGAAGAACACAATGATTTGTTAAAAATGCATGTCCACTTAAAACTGATGAGTTTGCTGACAGATTCACAGCAAAATTAGAAAAGATCACAAAAACATTGAAAAAAAAAACAAAAACTGACAAGCTTCATGAACATTAGTCTGAGAATAATACAATACTAAAAAAAAAAAAAAAAAATAAGCAAAAGCTGTGCAAATCAACTAGAAATAAATAGATCAAGTGATGGTTAACTCAAAAAATCGTCAATTTCAGAGGAGGACAATGGTTTAGTAGGCTGCGAATTCATAGAGTTATTTAGGAAAGTATTATTCATAGACATAGATGGAGTTGACTTAATGGATGGGAATGTATTCATGGGTGAAATCATTGAAGAATTTAGGGGAGACTGGGCCGTTGCATTCATGGACAAGAAATTAAACCCAGGTTGACTAAGATTGTTTTGGGGTAGATTTGGTAAGGATGGGAACTGAGAGCTGGTAGCTTGTGGTCTCATTTGCGAAGACATGAATGCTGGTTGTGTTGCAGGAAGCAACGCCGGTGTCTGAGAGAAAGAACTAAAGCCCGTTGAACCCAGATTCATTGTACTTTGATTTGAGGGAAAATTGGATTGGGGAGGGTTGGAATGTTGAGAAAAAGACATTTGGGATAAATTGTTTTCTATTAAACTAGCAGTCAAATCTCTGACTTGAGGGGGTGCTTTCTGTGGTGCTGGAGTCGGGCTTAGAACCGGTTCACTTTGTAACCTCTTCTGAACATCCTGCTGTTGCACGAGTCTGAAATACAAAAATCAAGAGCAATGTTAATTAACTTTGTGGGTATGAGAAATAGGAGCTCGCTGAGGGAAGATGACTTCATAGGTGGAAGGAATTTTCCTCTTCAGGTTGAAGTAATTTATTCTTCAGGACTTAATTCACTTGCCATCTCCTGCAAAGTTTTTCAGAAATTTTCAAGAGAAAAATTGGACATTTTTGAGAAATGCTATAGATTAGCTCCAGGGTAGTTTTGAAAGGAGATTTTGAAAGTTTGTTATAATATAGATCAACAACACACAGCATTACATAAGATAAGTAGTCCAGGCGCCTGGTAAGTCTACCTGGAATTTTGGGTACACAGCGATTTTTTTGGCTTACTTTATGTTTTTTGGGTCGCTGAATCCGAATCTGAAGTTTCCGCACGCGTATCTGGTGAGCATTTTCCGCTATTTTGAAAAAATGGCCAAAAAAGGCCTTTTTTTGCGGTTTTTTTGATATAGCGGCTACGGATGAGGAAAAGTCCCGGATTTAGCTAATGTTTTGAATAGCTGACATAATTTGGAAGAAAATGGTGTATACATATGTTAGGTTTGCTTAAAAATTGAGGAAGATACAGCATCGTGAACATCGCGCCTATTCACGTTTTCGCGGCGCACCCGTCAACGCGCGATCCGGCTCGCCGCGGTCAGCCAAGTTCCGAAGCGTTCTAAAGTTCCGAAATCCGAGGTTCCTCAATTTTTGAGCAAACCTAGCATATTCATATACCATTTTCTTCCAAATTTTGTCAGCTATTCAAAACATTAGCTAAATCCGGGACTTTTCCTCATCCGTAGCCGCTATATCAAAAAAACCGCAAAAAAAGGCCTTTTTAGGCCATTTTTTCAAAATAGCGGAAAATGCTCACCAGATACGCGTGCGGAAACTTCAGATTCGGATTCAGCGACCCAAAGAACATAAAGTAAGCCAAAAAAATCGCTGTGTACCCAAAATTCCAGGTAGCCTCATTTTTAGCTACCAGGCGCCTGGACTAAAAGTTGACATGTTGTGATGACAAGTTGTGATGACAACATCATGAAGATTCTAGGAATGAGGGAGCATGATGATTTAGTGCTAAAAAAACTTCCATATTATTCATCATAATAAAACAGAAACCTAATGAAATCGTTAAAAACGAAGAGAAAACCTTCATTTACCTTTGTTTATCTTGAAACGTTAGGGTTTCACTGGTGTTACTTTTAAATTTATTGTCATCGGATTTTTGTTGATTTCCATTCATTCCTAAAATTTGTTCCAGGGAAAAAGGCTCAGCAGATGAGACATTCTGTGATGCTTTGGAGGAGGGATTCATTGCTCTGAAACAAGAGAGATATGAAGAATAAGTTACCACATAGACTAAAGTGAAAATAGTGGATTCATTTCACTGCAATATTGTAAAATACATACATTGAAATATCATAATCATTAGAATAATGATGTACTTTTCAATGATGAGGAAACCGAACATTGAGTAGACATGGACAACGAAAAGACAGTGGTATTTCTTACTTAAAAGCTATATGTTTGTCTTTTTCTTTGCTGTACAGTTTACCTAGTTAATTCTTAAGACAAACAAAATTCAACATGTTTAATTGTATAATTTACTCAATTGTGAAAACAATTTAGGATTATAGAACAAACATTGGCACCGACTTTGTCCATTTATAAAATATATTGAGAAAATGCCATCTTTTCTGCTGGCAATTTTATTGTTACGGACCGTAATTATGTATGAGTTTTTCTTGCCTCGGCAAAAACTTTACACCCAAAAGAAACTTTATCTTCTTTGAAAGTATTGATTAAAATAAATCGAGATACTTACGACTGCTGGCTTTGGATTGAATTCAACTGTTCTAATTTCACACGGTGCTCGGCTTCCACCCTATTTACCATCTCTTTTATGATAGAGATTAAAGCGTTAAATTGATTTAAGGTCAAGGAATTCTCAATACTGAGGGGCATTAAAAAGGGAATGATTTTTGTTGCCATTACTTCCTTAGAAACTGTCATTTTTTTGTGATTTAGAACTAGTTTGTAGATACCTAGAAAGAAAAGAAAAAGAGAGAAATATTACTTGCACCACAAAAATTGTTTGATTATTTGTAGCAAACAATTATTTTTTGTAGCGTTAAGGAATTACTAAAAAATTTCAATATCAATGGAGAATTCTGAAGGCTCTTATTTAAGCCTCTACCGAAAATCAGGGGTAAAATAGATTAACATTCTGAAAATACCCATTAACGACTAAATTTTTGATACTACACAAATCATAATTTCTGATTTTTCAACATTCTATAAAATACTTTTAAATAAATGCGTGTATAAATGCTAGCACTTAATGGAAGAGCTAGAAATATCCAGAAAGAAAAGCAAGCAAAAAAATGAAATAAACAGAGTGAACAACAACCAGTGGAGAAGCGTAAATGATCGATTATTGATATTTCCTCATTTAGAGCTATGGTAAAGAATCGATTATTAAGGTGTTCGTTGCGTACACCCTGTTTATTGATCCTTTTCTATAGGTTTGAATGGCAGATCAATCAATACATTGCACAGTCCGCCATGCCACTGATGACAAAATGATAATACTAAGTTCAAAGCTTCAAAATTTACAAGAAAAAACAAAGCTTACCTGGTCAAGGTGCAAAAAATTAGTGGGAATATGCTGATGGATTAAGTGAGCAGGCATTGCCAAAGGGTTGAAAGTTGTGTCAAGTGCTTGTTCATTGCGATTCTCTCAAAAATTACAACACTTCAGCACAATACAAGCATACTTATGAACTGCAAGTAAGGTCTATGCACAGCGACAATACAGCGAAAAACACTAGGGTAGTAGGACCACAAAAGTAACCACAGCGGAAGAAACTGAATTAAAAAAAGCTGAGCCAAATGTAAGAATAGTAGCACGCAAGGTAGCAAGCAACAAGCAGCACGCACAGCAATAAGAAGTGCATTGATACAGCAGGGTAAAAAAACAGTGCAGTTACACAAGGTGCGAGTGATATCTTTCAACCAATTAGGATCAGAGGATAAAATTTGTTATCAAGTGTGACTGTCCGTTAAAAAAAGGTACCTTGAGATATGAAGGCAAATTTTCAGAGACAGCAATTTGTTTTCAACCTAGGTTAGAAATTTGGAATTAGTCTTTCTGATGGGAACACTCAATGGTATCTCTCTCAGTAAGTTGTGAGCGATCTGGCTCAGTTTATGTCGATGGTATGAGATTTTTGCAAGTAGCTTATGTCAAAAGTTTTGTTAATCATGTATGCAGGAGTGTCATACCTCTATTTGGAGTTTTCTGACAAACGGTTCTCTTTTCCTTGGATGGTTACAATTGATGGAGAGGAAATCTTGCATGCCAGGAAGATTTGCTATTTAAGTACTTTTTCTCAATTAAAGTTTTGCGAGAAAGATGATGATACCACTGGTTTTCTATGAGACAAACACCCAAGCTCAAAAAAACTCTCAAAGTTGAAGGCCTAAAGGAAGGGATTGCCTATATTACAGTCTGAGCCTGCTTCTACAGTGCCACCAATCCAGTCAAACTCTCCGTGCACAGATAAGGAGCAAATACAAGAACGGGGCCCAAAGAAAAGAAGCAGTTCAGGAAAAGGTGAATGACTTACCTAAAATGCCCATAAGAACTGCTGGTTCTCGAGATGGAATCTGTGGTAGGAAAGGAAGTACTTCGTCAAGAACGAGCCATTTGTCTAGGAACTCTAACAGTTTTCCAAGACAGACAAGACAGTTGACGCGAACCTGAGAAACAAACAGAGAAATTTGAAAACTTAAATTGCCGACTACAGAAATGAAAAAAATAATGGAGAGAAGTTTCTGTTTGGATGCTAACCCTTTCAATACCATGACTGAGTAAAGTGTCCACCAGTCTGCGCACTTCATGTGCCACAAGTATACTTATGTTTTTGTACTTATGGCAAGTGTTTGTTAAAAATTACATGTTGACTTGTTGAGTGTACTTGTTTGTTACTGCTGTGCTTCCATGCTTTTTGTCAAAGTTTTACTATGTTGATGGAATGATACAAGGTAGTAAAAAGAAGGTACACTATTCCTCCACAGAGATTAACATTCTCTTTGTCTTTGATTTTCGAGAGTTCTTCAAATTAATTGACAAAATTATGCTAAGACAAAAATTGAATCAAAACTGATGGTATCCCTACCTAAAATGACTTACTTATCCTTCCTCTTTTCTACCATATGTCACACTGGAGAGGAGGAGCTCAATAATCAAAAGAGAAAAAAATTCTGATGTTCGTCACAAAAAATTACTTACGGAAATATACGATGTAGACACACACAGCCTTTTAATTCTAGGTAAAAGGGCATTTTTCATTGAAGGATAATCGATGAGACTAGCAAAAGTCGGTAGGGCTGCAAGACACAGCTCTTGTATCTGCTGTACATCCGACTCTAAAGCTCGATAAAGCATTGGTAACACGTCTGACTTAATTTCATCTGCTGGTGTCAAATTCAAAAGCAATTCCATTTTCTGCATGAAAATCAATAGTGTCTGAAAAGAAAAGAAACAAAAAAAAAATGGTAACCAAAATTTAAATATTTAAAAAGAAGGAGCCCCTAGGGGGAAAATGGGAGTGACAAATAAAAGAGGACCTTTGCTTTTTTATGACCCCTCATCATCATCATTGTCTTCCCCTGTAAACTTTCAGGTGCGGTACGATGGAGGAAGGGCTCAAAGACATGAAAGGCAGAGCCTTTTGAGTGGACATGGGCAGTGCCTTACAAGGAGACAAAGGACAAATAAATCATTAATAAAATAAATATTGGAACATCACAATAATAACAAAAGATAAAATTAATTAATAATAGTTCATAGATAGCTGCAATTAATAGCAAAAGCATGAGGAGAAGAAGTCAAAAAATTTGCAGTGCAGCGTGAAGCTTGCATTGCTTCGGCATGAGTAGAAAGGAATGAAGCAACTTTGTTTTGAGCTTGAAGCTTTGCTTTGGAGCCTTTGTTCTGTGGGACTTGGCAATAGAAAGACGACGCACAAGACAGGAGAGAGGAGAACTCTGATACAGCAGTCCATCTACTAACACATGGAACAAGCCTGAGGTGTCCAGCCACCTCCTTTTGCTCATCCACTGCACGTACTCTTACATCGACATGTGGAACTTGGATTTTCGGCCATTTCATTCTCCACCTACATCTTACCTCTTCCCCTGGATTTGACCGTAACAGGACCCCCCCCCCCCCCCCCCCNCTAAGGAACTTCAGTCCAGGCCCCTTCTAGGAGTGCCTACTCAGTAAAAATACTCACCAGCCGCTATTGTAAACTTTGAGCCTTTGTCCTTGCCAGCTCATCCTCCTCCTTTCATTGCTCCTTTTACTTTAAATTAAATTAGTGTTATTATGGGAAAAAGCTGCTACTAAAGATTCTTATCACTATTTCAGTTTGAAATCATCATTACAATGTTGCGCTGGCACCAACACTGGGCACAAAGGGTAAATCCATAGAGTTATTATTGAGTAGCAACATATTCATACTTTCTATTGAAGGTGCGTTATATGAGAAAGTTTCTTACTTGAATTGGTTCCTGTAATTTCATGACTGGTTTCAAGTGCGGGAGGATATGGTGGACAAATTCTTCCTTTGTACTTGATTCTGCGATTGATAGGACATTGGGTAGAACAAATGGAACCATTGTAGGGTTAACAAATTCTTTAACTAGACAGGGCACTATTCTGTAAATGATTATACAAAGGGAGAAAAAAAATAAAAAGAGTTAAAAAAAGAAAGAATGAGAGTACTGTTCCAAAATCAAACAAGAATCTTATAAAATATCATTAAAATGACTGAAAGTCTTGCATTGATCAGGATTCATTTGTGTGAAATGAAGTCTCACAAGTAGACCTTGATAATCGGTCAGATCAGCTGCATGGAATAAGAAAAAATAGTGTTCTGTTGACTGATACAGATCAGTAAAACAAATAGATTTACTCAGAGGGAGAATTTTAAAATCTCATGACCATTGCCGAAAACACAGATGATGTAGTCTACTTTTGTAGTAAATACTTCTAAGAGTCCAGAAAATTCTAGATTGCAGGATCGTGTTCCCATGCTTTTTTATGAAACCAGTATAGAACAAGAAATGTTTAGTAAAAGCAGTCAAGGTTTCTTTCTTTTTTTTTCAATCATTTTTAAAATTTTACTTTCAGTTCTCTGCTAGCAGGAGGCACCTTTGATTTCAGTGAAAGAGACTGACTTGCATGTTAGTGACAGTGAAGAAACCACACAATGAACACATTGCTTTTTTGGCAGAGTCGGGTCTTTCTAACGCACTATACCTTTTCACTAACAGGGTATTTTTATTAAAGTAAACTTTATTTATGTGAAAACAAAGAAATTTCTAGACCCCTGAAAAACCATGATTCCTTACACCTTAATGAGTATACTTGGAAGACTTGAGTCATCGCTTCAGGGCATGCCAAATATTAAGCTCAGGAATTGCACAGCACCTTTACGCTTTGTTTATACTGCATCAATTTTTTTCACTTGCCTTAGCTACCTCTTGGTGCAGCGGACATGATTCTCATCTAGTAAGCTAAAGGCTGTGTATGAATCCTTTAGAAGAGGATTTTATTCATTTATTTTATTATTGTCCTAGGTAATAGTTTAAAATCTAAAAGATAAATATTAGGTCTTTTGACAGTTAACAAAATTAAATTTTTTAGGATGAGGTTCTAAAGACAGTTTGGTTCATTCTTACTGACCTGTAAATACACACTCTGTGAGGTAATTTTTCAATAACTTGCGGAAGACCTTTATAAAACTGAGATTTTTGAAGATTGTCCCATTGGAAAAGTGAGTCCAAATAATTCAGAGTTTTCACACCAACGTCTTCAAAAAAGTCAACCTGTACAGAAAAGAAGTCATGGCAGATACTAGGAAAATAAGGGATGCCAATGAGAAAAGTAATGCTGAAATAATACTGTATGGTTGTAATGCTGTGACTTTCAGAGCTTATAATATTCAGGGATGCAAGAGGATCATACGGATCAACGATCATTTTTACAGATATTGTGCTGGTAAGCGACCTAGTATCTGCTGAACTTATGAGTGATTTTTTTCTCACAAAGATGCGGCTTCGAAACATTGACCATAACTTGATGCCCTGGAGAAATTTAGCCATGAGCCATGTATCAGAATTATCAGAGAATCAAGAGGCTTCAATTAGCAGATCATCAATTAAATAATTTGCTTTTAAATAAACCATTACGTCATTATACGTTAACCGTTATGGTATTCGAATATTTCTTACTTTGATAAAGTCATGAATTTCAGGTCGCAACTCTGGTGTTGTGCTAAGCATCAATTTGACCACATCTCGGAGACCTGGGGGTATGTTGATGAGTTTGGATGATGGCAGGCTCTTGAGCTGAAAATAAAATTGTTAGTATCGATCAGTGAAATAAATTTAAACTGATGAAAAGTAAGTTTACCTATATTTTTATTGTCAACAACTAAATATTATTTGTGATTGAGGGGGGGGGGGGACAGGCACTGAGGGTTAAAAGGAGGTTTTTGACCTTGCTATATTCATAGCTGTACAGGTTTTGCATTGATTTCTGCAAAGAAAAAAGAAACATGCATTATACGCAATTTTTTTGCAACATGGGACCAAAATCATCTGAATGGGTTGCTTGGTTTTAAAATTAGAGCATCTTTTCTTAAACAAAACTCAGAGCTTTGGACACTGGAATAGTAGGATTGAAACTTGCAGCTCTTCCGATCAAATTTTTTTATTTTACAAAATTTTGCTCATCCATGCTTGGTTTCATTTTTTACTTAAGTAAAGATGAGACAGAATTTGTTAATTCAATGATTGAACTAAAATCACCTCAGACATGTTTCTTCGATAGCCATGAATGTCAGATGGTGAAAATAGGGGGCGGCCATCATTGTGTACTGCATACGTTAGAATACCCAAAGAAAAAACATCGCTGGCGGATGATTGCGTCTCTGATGTCACACACTCTGGCGCAATGTAATCAATGTTGGGTGAGGCAATTGGTGGTAAATCACTGCGAAAGGCACACGCCATATCCTATAAATGAAAACAAAGAAAAACATTGAAGGAAACAATTTTTCAAAAGGATAGAAATTAATAATGAGAAATATACTGAAGTTGAAATAAGGCAATGGAGTCTCATTTGCAATGACAAAAATAATTTTTTACTGCAGAATGAAATCGATGCTGAGAAACAGAATGTACTTACATGCTTGTCACTAGAGTTAGGAGCACAAAATTCAAAACCAAATAATTTCCAAGCTCCTTGTTGGTTAATTATGATATTTTCTGGGCATATATTGCGGTGCAGTAATTTAGCATCATTATGTAGGAAGGCAAGTCCTTCTCCAATCTGGAACATCAAAAAATAATTATTGAAAATTGATATTTAAAAGACAATACAAGAGAGGTTGATATTACTTCTCTAACTTACTAAACTTAAAAATTAAGTTAAAAACAAACTTTTTATTTACATACGTACATCCTGAAATTTATTGAAATTTCCTCTACAATGACTTCTGTATGATGAAATTATTGAAATAATAAAAGAGCTACAAGCCAAAAATAAATTAAACAAATAATATTTCAAACTACATAGAGATGAGAAATAATAAAAAACTTACAGGAAACACAACGTTTTTAATTACAACAAAAGTTTTTTATTATTTCTCATCTCTATGTAGTTTGAAATATTATTTGTTTAATTTATTTTTGGCTTGTAGCTCAATTATTTTTTCAACAATTTTATCATGTTCAATGAAAGCCAGCCACATTGGCATTAAAATGACTACTGTATGTTGTATTCCCTACTCTGATTTATATTTTAGAAAGGGACGACATGTTTTGGACAAGGTTGAAAAATCATTTAATCAGTTAATTTGCCTGTAGTTTGATAGCAAATTTCAGGCAATTTAAAAAGGATGTGACTGTCTTCAAGGAGATAGACCTTGGTCCACAAACTGGCAATTTGAAGTTATTGATTAAAAAAATGTAGTTTTAAGAAAAAGCTATTGAAGCTAATTTTCCACGCTCAAGGCACTGAATAGATACCAATAGAAGCATTTATATACTTCAGAGGCAAAAAAAAAAGAATTAGGCCACCCGCGACTTATTCTCAGGACACAAGAGATTTTATTCTGTTGAAAGATCAAAATTCAATCCTATTGGACAATCATCACTCTCTTAAAAAGTTTATCTTCACAAACCAAGGTCTATTTCCTGTGAGCAGTAGTATATAAATAAAAAAATTCTCTGATGTTTTATTTTTGGAGCAGAAAAGTAAGCAACACTGAAACTTGGAATTTTGCGAAAATATTCTTCATGATTCAGCGCAATTTCACAGGATACTTAAGGGTTTTGAGTAGATTAGTTTTCCATTTAAATAAAATGAAACGAGAGAGAATAATGCATTATTAAGAGCAGTCAAGCTGATTTCAGTAGAATCCACATAATTCATGCTTAAAGAGAGGCTAATTCAAAACATGGATGAAGCTCATGATTCAACAGTAAACATTGAGCTTCAAAGCACAGCAATGACTGCTAAGAATAAAGGAGGGTCGTACCTGTAGTAAACCATATTTGACCTCAATTTCCAGTAACTTATAATTTTTCAACTGCGCTGGTAGTGGTGTTGGCATATTTTCATGGACACCCAACACATTTGCTAAACTGGCAAGAATGGGTTCGGTGGCAAAAGCTAAACTGTCCCTGGACAAAACAAAATACGAAATTGTTAGTAATACAGTGTTTTCTAGGTGAGTAATCAGATATTCTCTAAAGGGGTAAAACTGCAATTTAGATTGGCTCATAATTAAAATTGATGAAAGAGTGATTTTAAGTTGAATTTGTGCCGGCGAAAAACTCTTGAAGGTGCATCATTTTCATGAAAATAAATGTACCTGCGGTAAATAATTTATTTAGGAATAAAAACCGTGAAACAAGAGAAATACGTAACTTGGTTGATAGTGTTCCAAACTCTTACCAAATTTAAAACTGATGCAGGAGAATCATGTTTGATCTGACAAATTCTGCATAATCTACCTTCTTTAATCTAAAGAAAAATCTATGCATTGTATGCCAAAATTTTACTAAGCCACAATTAATATAAATATTTTTCTTCTTCCATCATTGATAGGAACACAATACAATTACTCATGAGGACTGAGTTTCCCAAAATATCATGCAGAGTCATCTTATTTCACCTGGCACAAAATACAAACCAGTGCAAACTTTTTGGGCTACTGCAAGTTGATTCATTGTTAAGGTATTTTATAATTTCAAAATCAAGGGCTTGCATGGAAATAAAAATAAGTATAGGTAAGTAGTATCAAACATAGAATTTAGAGGTCTGATATTCATCCATTGAAGGCAACACTTTGTAATGTACATTTTTAATGCTTTAACCTCAACACCTAAAAATACCACTGCAATCATACAGAAAAACCATCTTACCGAGACTCTTCAAGAGCATGACATACAACCAAAACTTGAGGATGCCTCAACCGCGTTAGTTGTGCAATGCCTCTTCTCAGAGTTTCTAAAATAATTTCTCTCTCGTTTCGCTGCCATCTTTCTAGCTGCTTCTTTTCCAAAACTAGAATTGAAACTTCCTGCCTGGTAGATTTCTTGTAGCCACTGTAAACTTTCCACAGGAGACCTTCAAAGAAAAGAAAATAAGTTTAGTTGATAGGTAAGTGAAATTGCATGATACAGAACATGGGAGCAAATTAACAGAATTGATCTTGTGCTAACGTAAGAGAAATTGCAAAAAATTCCGGATACTGCGAGATTAAACCTCGAGAGGTATTGACAAAAAACTGGTTTTCCTATAGTTGATCCCTTACGACGTAAAAACAGTTAAAAAACAGATAACTTCAATTTGAATTGATAAGAAGAATTCTGTTGTACTTAAGTTATAATGAAGTCCTAACAGTCTATTCAAGGTCTCGAACGAATACAGTTTTCCGCTCTTAGTGGATTTTGAAAACCACAAAATGGTTAGAGGAGGCAGTTTCTCCGAAACTAAATCTTGTTCTTTTGGTTACTTACCTGCAATTTGCTAAAACAAATAGTTTTGAGTTCAAATATTGCTGGAATAAACACTACAATTGTTGGTTAAAAACTCAGATTTGTCTGCATCTCACTCAAAAGGTTGATGATTGAGAATTTTCAGTTTTTATTTCAAATAATGATGCATTTGATTGGATAAGAGTTTCCATTGGTTTTCAAAAAATATTCTCATTTTATTTCTTAGAGGACTTTGCGAAAAATTATTCCTCTCTTTGAAATCTCTTCAGGCTTTGAAAACAAAAATTCTCTCTCCTCTAATAAAATGGAAAACATTGGTGCATCTATCTTCAAAAAAAAAATTTAACAAGAGTGAGTGGAAGTGTAAATAAAAACAAAATGATTTGAAAATATAGCAAGAAGCAATTACCTTGACCAACACTGGCAATATGCTCTGTGGCTTCAAATTCTCTAGTGACTGGATTCCCAGGTAAAGCCGCTGATAACTGAGAAACAGTGCTGCTGACCGTTGAGCAAAATTTATTCAAAACATCCATTTTACTTCATCTGAAAAACAGGAAGAACTGCTTAAGTTGAAGACTGAAAAACGAATACATGGTTTAAGGGAATTAAGTGTTGATAGGTTTCATGAAAATTGATGATCGCACCCAACACTGACAGGGGGAAAATAATTTGATTCTAAGAAACAAAACTGAATTCAGGCTGAAAATGAATTTGCTGGTTTAATTTAACTATTAGGGATTGCCAGGACTAGTGAATGCATGAAAGCAACACCAGCCCCTGGCAGTTAAAAATGGGACTAGTTACAAAACTCTTTCTCCCTAAACTTCTCAGCCAATCAGTTCAAATTATCTTGTCTTAGCGACCATCATAGTTGTGTCATTCTGAAACCTTAAAATGCACAGTTTTAAGTCAGAAAGCAGGTTGTTGGCACACTTCTCTTAACAAAGGGCATGACATCCTTCCCTTAATGTATGGACTTAATGTTGAAACGATTCTGAAGTTGAGATTAGAGCCCAATAAGTATTTTCCTTGGAACAGTAGATTTGCAGTGCTTTGTAGATGTAAACTTGTCCGATTCCGTTCGATTCTTTAGTTTCCAAACACAACCCAACAGTCCCATTGACCGCCTGAGTTTGTTGAGGGTTTGGTAGAAATTTTAGGCTTATGTACGCAGACAAACAAGCCATCAGGTAACTCTGACGGAGTCCAACAAAATTGACCTTTCGGAATCTGGTAATTCTGTTTTCAATTTTCCAAACAGTTTACTTCGACAACGCAGCTAGCCAACACTACAGAAATTGAGTACTGCTTATTATAATGCTGATAGAGTTGTGTGGCATTGAAATTGATTTGATGATGGAGAATGTAGATCTTAACTTTCTTAGCAGAAAGTATGAGATATTAATTCCACTAAAGCATAACTTTTGAAATGCCTAACATAAAGACCAAATACATTTAATAATAGAAAAACTGATCTTTTACAAATTTATAGTATTGGAAAATGAATGATTCTGCTGACTTCAAGCGTGCACAAACAGAACTGATGATTCGTGGCAAACGATGATTCATGCGACCAAGATAACTTTTGAAATCCTGCCTTAGAGTTACCATTTGCTGGACACAAATAAGTCATTCAAATAGTAGGATTCTGGTTTTTTCTGGTAAAGAAATGGTTGATGGGCTAATTTAAATTAACGCTCTATTAGGTAACAGCTTGCGAGGTCGTAACCATGCTCCTCTTTCATTGATCAAGGTTGCAAGACTAAACTGCAAGACGGGCATGTGGGACGAATTGACTACATCAGTTACTTGCTGCGAAATTAAAGAAGCATTGAGGACTTTAGAGTACGCAAATAAAGTTAGATTGTTGATTACCTACTCAAAAAACAGATGCACTGACTAGTGAAAGATGAGAAGAGATCAAGTTGCCATGCTGGAGATCACAAGTTGTGAAACTCCCACAGAGGACTCACAAAAAACATATGAACAAAATATTAAAGCATTGACTACTTAACAATCTTAAGTACGAGAAATTTGATTAAAACTGAGAAATATTGAGGAGTTTTTGAAGTCTTTAGATCTCAAAACAACATGAGACGAGGACGAAAAAACCCAAAACAATAATAATGACTTAACACAGGTTATGTTGAATAATTCATCAGCTGTACCATCTTAACGAGACTGCAATTTTTCAGGTGACCACAATTTCTTTTTTTGAGGTTCTTCGCGTGAAGCCTTGAATCTTTAGACTAAAGTATTTCTTGCATTATTTTTTTGCGGAAAACTGATCATGTAATTTTTATTTGTCAATAAATGAGGTCCAAAAAGAAAAATGAGTGCAGTTGCCGTACTGCCATTGTTGGCATTACCGTTCGTATACCTACCTAATTTTTCATGGCGCCAAATATAATTTTGCGGAAGAGGAATTTTATTGTGGGTCTATCAGTGAGATTTTTCACCGGAAATCATTAAAATGTAAATTCATATTGTTCTGTTTATTGGTAAATGGTAACTCTCGATAAAATTTCCGAAATTGCAGAGATCGTATATTTGTGTATTTGCGACAAAGCGAATCTCGTCATAACACAAATCTTTTAACCCTTAGATGCCGAAGACTTCTTTCACACGCGAAGTCCCAAGTCGGGTCGAATTAACCTTCGATTTGAAGTATTATCCATTTCATTTCTGCGTTGAGGGTAGAAAATACTTTTTATGAAATCGTCCCCTTTTTTGGTACTGGCCTAGTGCATTCACCTCTCTTATTACTTGTCATATTATGCAGCTTCCCCAGATGAGATCTAATCGGGTCAAATTGACCCGACTATTTGAGAGATTCCAGGGGTAGTCGTAAAGAAAATTCCCTGATACGATATTATTCTCGCCAAAATACCAACTCTTAGATGAGCGCCTTGTAGGGCGTTAGAGGGACCTTTGAAAATTTTAGTTTTTTCATTCCTCCTCTCCTTCTTCCTCTTCTTCGTCTTATTCTTCTTCTTCTTATTTTTCTGCTTCTTAATCAAAATGATAATTGATTTGAAGACATCATAGCATAATTATTGTGAGCAAACAAACTTATTGGGTTTTTGGTTACTCATAGTGAAAGAAACAAATATTGAGCTCTTAGCCGATTTTGTCCTTGATAATATGTAAACTCAGGCCATGCTTAAAAAAACAGTGTGCAAGAGAATATTTATTTAAAAATTGACCAAATTTTATCACGTTGAGGTAATTTTTAAATTAACATTCTCTTGCACTTTGTTTGTTAAGCATGGTCTGAGTTTGCATATTATTCAAGAGAATAGCTCAATATTTGTTTCTTTCATTATTAGCAAACTTGACCTTAACATTTCTTAAATTTCAAAAATTGAAGACACTTCAACGCGCATTGATGACAGCGGAGAGATACAACTAATTATTCGTACTTGATGATGGATGGCCGTGTTGCATCTTCAAAATTGAAGGCGCAAGGTTCGAGGCATAAACTCGCGATGCTCGACCATGTGCTGCTAGTAATGTAGGTGTCGCTGATTCGGAAGAAAAACTAAAAAACAAGGCCAAATTATGCCTCTCCTATCTGTATGCTGCATTGCTTACGTTATCGTTTGAAGCGCCATTACAATTTTAATAAGACAAACGGAACTCACAAAACATGAAAATAGAGCAACGGAAAGGGGTAGCGCTTATGCCGGCGCAGAGATACAACTATTCGTGCTTGACGGATGTCCGTGTTGTGTCTGCAAAGTTGAAGGCGCGATAGCGCGACGCGTGAACTCGCAATAATCCCCTCTATGGTTGCCAATGAGGTATCGTTGCAATTTTTCAAGAGAGCGAAAAAACTATCTTCATTCCTCATCCTTGGAAGGTAGAAGGGAAACTATTTCTTTAAGGTATCAAGGATAGTATGTTGTTTAAGACTTTATCATTTTGAATAATATTCCCGTCCGTTAGGAGAAATGACCGAGAAACCGGGGTAGGTGTTTTTAGAACTATGGTCCTGGTCCGACACTTAATTAAAAAATACGTGGTTGTTAATTACTATGTCTCAAACTTATTTTCTACCGATGTTGACTAAATAAAGACTCAAAATAGAGTTTAACAGGACTAGGTACTTTAATTTGCCTCTTGATAGAAGGTTCAGTGCTATCATAAAGTCATGAAGAAAGCTCTAAAATCAATGAAAATTAAGAAAAGACGGAAGATTAGGAAATGAACAATGAACAGTCACTCTACCATAAGTTTTAATCCCTCTATATTTACTCTCTCTCTCTTCTCATTCTGGGAAAGCTACCTATCTACAGATGTGTGGTGTTAGTCTTAATCAAACATACTGATTTAATGACAAAAATATCTAGAATCATTATAATATAATAATTATTAAAGTTGCCTGAAAAGAGATTCCCAGGAAATATCACAGCCTTGTTATTTATATAATATTTGAACTACATTTTACATTAGGAAATAAAATTTCTGGCTCAGTTTAGACACAATGCTTTCATTTTTGCATCCGCCACACACACAACTTCTGAGCAGATTTAGTTGCATCAAAACGTTATGATTACTTTGACCATGAATGTCGTTTCTCGTTTGATGCCCGCTCGTTAATTGTGAGCTAAATAATGTACATGTGTAATTGGACAACATTTTACAATTAGGGACTACAATTTCAGGCTCATCCATTAAAACACCATCCTGCAAAGGGAAACTTATGGCACAAATCCTGTTTCTAACATATGTCAGAAATTGTAGCTCCTGATTGCAAAATGCCGTCCAATTGAACATCGTTTGATTCCGCACTTCCTTGCGACACGTTAAAAATGAAGAGCAATGATCCGTCTCTTATGAGGAGAGAAACAGACGTCAGGGCCGGATGAATAAGGTGGCCACATGGGCCGCGGCCCGCGGCCCATGGCGGCAAATCTAGGAGGCGGCAAATTTTGCAATTTTTTTAAATGTAGGTATAGAAAAAATCGGATTTAGAAAAAAATTACAAACAAAATCTCTCATTTCCTGAGAGTATAGTAATTTGTAATTTTGTCGTCTTTCGGTGATACAAGAGACAGCACCTTTAATTAGTCGAGTTAAGAGAGAGACCAAACACGCAATTCGGCAAGGAACAGAACGACTGAGAGAGAAATGATGACGAGGACTTGAGATGAAAAGGAGAAGCGAGAAGCCCTCGGCGCGGCGGTCGGCATGTAATGTAACACATATTAGCGCCTACATGCCTATAAGAATGCACGAATACTTCACGCATTGCGCCAAACACAGTGCGGTCAGCGTAAAACGCATAGCGCCTATAAGACTGCGTGAGTACTTCACGCGTTGCGTCAAACACGGTGCGGTCTGCGCGGCGCGGCGGCGGAAGGCAAAATCATCAAACCACATTTATGTTTGTTCTTTCATAATTTTTTCGTTCATTTCTTATGAATGGAAGGCCTTGTCCACGCAGAGATAGGTTTACGAAACTTAACGTTCGCGCAAAGTTCGGTGAATTCTTGCTAGTAGTGTTGACAGGGCTTTCCCAAAAAATGTGTCCAACACGAGTAAACGCGTCTTATGCACCCCACCCCCGCTGGCACGTTCACTTGGTGGTTTTTATTGATGTTTCAAAACGAATGAGAAGGGGGCGGCAAAATACAGGCGGCCAAGTAGGTAAATCCGCCAATAATCCGGCCCTGACAGACGTGAATGAAAAGGAGCACTTTCTTCCTCTCGTCCTAAAGTTAATGTGCCTAGAAGGTCATCAAAGCGTTATTCAACTAATGATAACGATAATAACGATGTAATGACATCTAATGATTTATTGGTAGCTATTATATTTATCTTACTATCAGCCAGCAGGCGTGAAACGCCATCATTGTTGATCGAAATAATCGAAACGCCTTGCTGCAACTAAACCTGCTCAGTAGCCATGCGTGTTGCAGGCGCAAAAATGAAGGCGTTCATAATGTTTTCTGCTCACGTTGCGATGCGACTACGCAATCTTTCGCGGATACAATTTCCGATCTCAACTCTTTTAAAGTCGAGACATTAATCCCAATCTTCAGTATACCTAGGGGAAGAATGGTGATTCAGGGCTGGGACGCGGCCGTATTCGGATGAGGTGTAGAGGCGCGCGTCATGATGGTACGTTTTGGTTTTTTCGTCCAGCCACCCCAGGGCCAAGTGTTGCGCGTCCATGCCTCCGGTGTCCACGGTCCTTGTTCCCGCCATTCAATCGGCCGCTGTGATATGTCATATTTACGGGTTCGTGGATACTGCGTCGTCGTCGGCCTCTCCACCCGCGTCGTCGCCCTCTCCACCCGCGTCGTCGCCCTCTCCACCCGCGTCGTCAACCTCTCCACCCGCGTCGTCTTCCTCTCCACCCGCGTCTCTCGGTTCGTGGTCCTCCACGCCAGCGTGGACTTGGGTTCCTGGCCCTCGCTTTTCCGCGAAGGGCTTGCCTCGCTAACCCCCTCCTTCTTCAGTTTCTCTGCTCTCCTCTCCTGAGCCAATCTTTGTCGCAACCCATTTCTGATTCTCCTCTTCGCCAGTTTTCGTGCTCTCTTAATGTCTTTTTGATCCCATGGTCGTTGTACGTATCTCCTGCGGTCCCATGATCGTTGTTCTTCGTTCCCCCGGTCCCATGGCCGCTCTGGTCTATTCCTCTGGCTCCTCGGTCGCTGTGGTTCATCTTCACTGCTCCATGGTTGCCGTGGTTCTTCTCGTCGGCCCCATGATCGTTGTGCTTGTCCCGTTCGACCCGGCACTCGTTGTGGTTCGTCCCTGTGGTCCCACGGTCGTTGTGGTTCATCCCTGTGGTCCCACGGTCGTTGTGGTTCATCCCTGTGGTCCCACGGTCGTTGTGGTTCATCCCTGTAGTCCCACGGTCGTTGTGGTTCATCCCTCCCGCTCCATGGTTGCCGTGGTTCGTCCCTCCGGTTCCATGGTTGCCGTGGTTCGTCCCTCCTGCTCCATGGTTGCCGTGGTTCATCTCTACTGCTCCATGGTCGTCGTGATTCGTCTCTCTGGCTCCATGGTTGCCGTGGTTCATCCCTGCGGTCCCACGGTTGCTGTGGTTCATCCCTCCGACTCCATGGTTGCCGTGGTTCATCTCTTCTGCTCCATGGTTGCCGTGGTTCGTCCCTCTGGCTCCACGATCGCCGTGGATCGTCTTCTCGGCTTCGTGATCCTCGTCCATCCCTTCCACGTTCCCAAGGCCCCCGTGGTACCTCCTTCTGGTTCCGAGATCGTCGCAAGTCATCGTTCCCAAATTCTCCACGCTGCCGTGCTCGTTTTCCAGGTCTTGGTTTTCTGCGTCGTCCCGAGTCCTTCGTTCGCGGTGGTGGGTATCGTCGGAACCCATCCCGCTCTCGAGCTCTTTGACGGCGTGATTTCCGCGGCGCTTCAGGCTCCTCCTGCAGCAAGTGCCACGGCTCATAAGGGTGTTCTTCAGGCAAGGTTATGACATCTTTTCTTAAATCATCTCGCGAGGATACTATGCTGGACCATACGTCTGTAAATGAACGTAAAGGACAAGAAGATTTAAATAATGACGTGTCACAAAGAGATACTTTACCATTCGCGCATTATAAGGTATCCTGTCAGTAGTTAAGTATGGAAATTAATAGAAATAGATAAAGAATGAAAGAATTTGAACGGGAGAGCTGAGTTGTGGGAGAGCGAGTAGATAAGTAAGTAAAACGATTTGGAATCGGAGAATGTATATTGAAGTAAAAGAGCACAGACCACAGAATATCATAAAGAGTAGCACAATTGTCAGATTTTTGAGAGGAAACACGGGTCTGGGGCTGAGAAGACCAAAATGAGAGTAATGTGAGTCACAGGTCTGAGATCCAAAAAAGACCTCGAAAAATAGGCAGCACATGTTTATACTGAGTGATCCAGGGTTAAACGGCCAGACTGCACGAGCGTGATTTATAGGTCAAAATAAGGCTTTTTTGTCGTATAAAGTTTTTTCTGAAAGTGCCACGTGTTGGAGCTACACCCCCCCCCCCCAAAAATCGGAAAATAAATCGTTTTTCCTGAATTTTGGCAACGGTTTGGAGCCTAATCTCATTTTTATGCCCTGAATCCATAAATTAATAAAAAATATCGAAATCTCAATTTAAAAAAGGGGTTTGGGGATGTTTCTTCCCCTGCAGTCTGGCCGTTCAACCTTGGATGACCCTGCATAGCCTTGCTGACGTCACTGATAGTGAGACAACGAGACTATTTGTGATTGGCTGGCTATAATCTATGTAGCTATTAGCTGAAAATACAATAGAACTCACCAAAATTTGTTTTGCCAAGTACTCATATGCGCATTTTCAGTTAATTTTTACCCCCCTCGCCTTTTTAGTATGTACAATGGAGGTGTAATGCGAGATAATGATAGAAGTAAGTACTTACCTGGCGGTATGAGTGATGGATTTTCAGTTTTCCTAGGAACATTTGGTATTTTAATGTTGCTGTCAAACGCAAAGTTGTTCGAAAATTTTAATCCATTATTGCCATGTTTGATCTATTCGCCGAATAAAGCAAGAAAGAGGAGAAATGAGAAACGATTTGGTTAGAAAATTGAAAAATACTTGCTCTTTTTATAAAAGTAAAATCTGATAAGAGTTTGGTGAAAGCCATTGGGACGAGCCTTTTAAAATTGCAATTTAGTCCCTCTAAACCATAGCTTTAGGTACCTATTATTCTTCCATACGTTTTCAAAGATGCAGACTGGGGTGAAACCATTACGTCTTCATGTCTGAGCCTGCAGGAGTGCAGGCTAAAAACTGTAGCTGTTTGTAGACATGCGCACGAAATACACGCAGGTGTATTTCTCCTTCAAAACGTCAAGTAGGCAATTGCACATACCTTATCGTTGAAATAGCTACCTCAAATCTCTCAGGGGTTCTTACACCCCAAAAATTTTATATGCACTGCGCTGAGATTGGTGTAATACCATTCAATCATATAAACTAATCGAACTAATTGCTACGTGAGGATTATCGTTTATACGTCGTTTGCAAATAGAATCTGCATATTCAGTAGTTGAAAAAAATATTTGTTTTTAAAAATATGATATCTGATGAAATGCATTTACAAACCTCAAATCGATGGTCAGGAGCAAATTTAGAGAATTCACTGCGGAGTTCTGGTTTCTCTGATAATAGGGTCATTTTTTTCTGTGTCTTTTTGGCAAAAATAATACTAAACGTCTGAGACGACCACAGGGAAATCAAACATATGCTTTGAAACGTCCTCTGAATCATAACTAGAATTATTTATTTGGTTAAACAAGGGAAATATTTTGCGGAGAATTGTAAAACAGGGGGTGCAAACAGCTAATACAAGATCTGTTGACATATACGTTTTGTTGATTAAATCACAATTAACTTCATAGGAAAAGCCAACTGTTACATCCGCACAGCATAATCAAGAAGGCCGATACGAAATTGTATTTCTCGATCCATTATCATCTACAGTGGTGTCATCAGAAAGGATCTGTGATCAAATCGGATCCTCATTGGAGGATATTTCAAATGTAGCTTGCTCCCTTCTCACCATGCTGAAACTTGGCGGAAAATGACCTAGCTGCTAAGGGGCCAATTTTTCATTGTATGGGAGATGAATTCTCTATGAGTTCAAAATTTTCAGACCCATCTAGCCTCACCTCTTTCAAAGATGCAATATTAGAGTACTTATTCACATTCACATTTGAGCAAGACACTTGGAACAACCACGAACAGCAACACGTTTAAGAAGAGGGAGGAGGTAAGTTGGTGTATCATCTGACCGAAAAAGAACCTATCACTATACTCGAAAATTTACGAACCTTTGTCTTCATTCTCTCCTGAGTCTCAACTATCAAGATTTTAAACGGTCGTACCTTTACGTAAAAAGTGTATATACACAATGCATATAAAAGTAGCACGACTCATTGTCAAATGGCACCATCGAACCTCGTCACTTGTTAATCATTTTGATCGTTTTCTCGTGTGTGCAAGAACGTCAAAGCTTCCAATTTTGTTTTTCCATTATCAATTTCTATTTTAATGACATTGATAAACGTAAAACATTGATATTACACTGCACAGCTGAATGATTGCCATTACCAGCTTCCTAGAGTTACTTTGTAAGTAAATGAGTGAGGTTTTGAGTCTTATGCGACTTATTAGAGACTGGACAGTTGCTACGGAAGGGTAAAATGCGGAGAGGGGGGCTTAACTGCGTCGCAAAATTTTATTTGACAATTCGTTCATTTCGGTTCCTTTTGGACGGTCGCACATTCTCAAGAAATTTGTTTTAGAAAATGTTCAATTTTAAACATGCACCTATGGTTAGGAATAAAAAATAAGTCGTCAAAATGTAGTGAGAATAAGTAACGATGCTGTTAAGACCCTCTCGCTGTTTGTATTCTGTTTGGTTCTCTTCTATGCAAAAAAGAACTACTACATCCTTTGGTTCATTTTACAAACAAAGCATTTGAAATTAGTTTACCGATGCAGATAAGTGCTTTGGTGCTTTTTATAATCTTTTATTCAAAAAATAAAGTGTCCACTTTACCGCTAACATCAATTTCCGAGTCTACTGGATTCAAGTATTCATAAAAGTATATGGTCATCGGTCTTTAGGAACCATTTCAATGTTTACTCCTTCTTTTAAAAGTTGCTATTTTACTTGGGTCATTTTTGGTTCCGATATGATGTGGAAATTTCCTCTGACATGAAGGTATCCGGCATCCCACAAGCTGCCTCGTAGAAAGTTGGTCTGCACGAAACTGATACTTTAGAGGTGTCGTTTAGCTACATTTCCTCAATCAAGGATCATCTAAAGTTGCTTTTCTCTACATTTTTTTATATTTACTAGAGGGCTCCGCCCCCTGGCCGCTCCGCGGCCCAACCCCCTCGTAGATTCTGTCAATTCATGATGAAAATATCACATAATTTTTTTTTAATTCACATTATTCTTGTAATTTTTATTTATACTCCTGAAGTTCTGTTAGATGCTTATTCATTCAAAACATCATCATCAATTTAGCTAAAAACTTACTTCAATTAAGGTTGGAATTTTAAGAAAAGGTGAATAATCAGTGTGAAACGGTTTGTATGGGATAAAACATGATGGATGGAAAGCAAATAGGATAAAATATAATATAATATAAACGAAATATAATAGGATTTTCCTTGATAAAACGTGATTTATTTATAATAACCTGGATAAAAGGCCACAAGTCGGTTTGATATTTAAATTAAAGAGTGACGGTGATGCGTAACAATTTTTGGATTTGCTGCTCTAATTGGGTGATTGAATTTTACCATGAAGAATATTGTTAGATAAAAAATTGTACCATCACGTCTCGTATCTTAATGATTTCTTAAAAGAAGTCGATCAAGATTAAAGTATTACATATACTCTGACTAATTGATCTTTTCAGTGGAAATCAGTTAAACCAGTTTATTGCATACTTTGCTATCTACCTATGTTTCCTCATTTGAATCTGTGGAAATAATCGACTAATAACGTATTTGTTGCGATAAATCAATCGATATATCGCCAATCACGCCAAGATTTTATGACAAAATCATTAGTGTCTTGAGAATCTCCAGAATTTATACATAATACATGAAATGTACAATTATTTAGAAAAATGGCTTGGGGAGCGAATCAAAATTACCGCCGGGCCAGTGGTTTCATCCCCTGCCGTTACCTCTGGGCGTGCTTCGTGCGTCCGTCACGTTTAGTGAAACTATAATTTTAAGTTATAAACATAATAAAAAATGTTTTGTTCATAGGGACAAAATTAATTGTTTTGAAGATAATAAATACATATTGCATTGTTCAATTTTAACAGTAGAAAATAAACAAAGTTATTGCAGAATTTCTTGATGTACAATGTTCATTGCTGTGTTTTTATTTTTGTTGTCATCAAAATTAATGATTTTTATTTTTAAACCTTCTTTAGTCCTACATCTAGACAATGCTACATACAGTTGCCCGTGAGCGAACATTGGTCTTTCTTTATCTATAAAAATTCCCACTCTGTCAAATGATTGCCCTTGGCTTTTACTAATAGTCATATCAAAAGCTAATCTAACGGGGAACTGTTTCCTATTCAAAACAAAAGGTTGGGTTTTTTCTTCTTTTGTGTTAAGTGTAATTTTTGGTAGTGCAACTATTTTTCCTTTATTTTCTCCTGTTAAAATTGAGCAATGCAAAATGTATTTGTTTATTTTTAAGACAATTAATCTTGTCCCATTGCACAATCCATCCACGATACAAATGTTGCGTAGCAACAAAACGACAGCTCCTTCTTTTAACTTCAAATTTTGACTTGGCATTCCTGAAGGGTTCAATGAAGCTAAGTATTCTGGTTGATATCTTAGAGTTAACTCTTCTTGGTCTGTCAGGTCTCCGCCCACTGCAGTTGCCCAACTGAATCCTTCACTCACAATTGTTTCTCCTTCCAATTTGAAAGTACTTCTTCGTTCAATCTGTCAACTTCACAATTTCTGGATGCAAGAAGTATTGATGTTTTTAATGTTTCTTCGTTATATTCTTTAAAAATGCTATCAACAATGTTTTCATTACATACCATTTCTGATGGAAATTCAACGATTTCTTTCTTCCCATTTCCGATTTCTAGCAGCCATTCACTGAATTCTTCGTTGTTTGCTCTCATATTTTTTTTCAAGTGAAAGATTTTGAAATGTTTCCATAAAGGAGAGCTTATTAAAGCATGATTTGACTATTTTATTTCTGCTTCCTTTCTTTACTACTGGCAATAATTGTCTGAAATCTCCGCCCAGGCAAACGGTTCTTCCTCCGAATGTATCATATTTCTCATTAAATCTTGCAAGGTTACGTTCACTATTTGAAAAGCTGTTGACAATATCATTGAAGCTTCATCCCATATTATAAAATCAACTTCTGTTAATATTTGCTTTAATTCTGTTGTAAGTTTTACCGGTTTAATGTCGTTTTCGGATGTCATCTGAAGGGGCAATTTAAAAACTCTGTGAGCTGTTTTTCCACCAGGAAGTAAAATTGCAGCTATTCCAGTCCATGCTATACACAATACTTTTTGATTATTGTGTTTTAAATGGTGATAGAGTGCTCTGTACAAGAATGTTTTCCAAGAATCCTTTAGGCTTTTCTCTTCACCGTTTAACTTTTGTTCTACTTCTGAAATTACATTACTTTTATTACTATCGTCGTATAGATATTTCTCGAATTTTTCCCAAAGTCTTTTTCCATTAATGTCTTCTGAAGTTAAAAGAAGGTAAACAAAGAATGATCTCAATAAGTTTTCGATACATCGCCGTATTGCGATTATCGATACATGCGGTTCTCGATACATGCGATTATCAGTTTGATGTGTTTGATTTGTTTGATTGTGTTTCATGATGTGTTTTTTGTGTTTGATGTGTTTGATTGTGTTTCAGGATGTGTTTGTTGTGTTTGATGTGTTTTATGTGTTTCATTACGCGTTTGCTGTTTTTCATGGTGTGTTTGTTGTGTTTGATTGTGTTTCATGATGTGTTTCTTGTGTTTGATATGTTTGATGTGTTTTATGTGTTTCATGATGCGTTTGATGTGTTTGCTGTGTTTCATGATGCATTTGATGTGTTTGTTGTGACACACAACACACAACAAACACAAAAAACACATCAAACACATCAAACAACACAAACACATCATTAAAAACAATCAACACAAGAACACAAAAACACATTAAACACATCAAACACAACAAACACATCACGAAACACAATCAAACACATCAAACTGATAATCACATGTATCGATAATCGCAATACGGCAATGCTGCGGAAGCGGTTGCTTCGCAACCGCGGGCCCGTTCCTCTCCCCAATTTTCCCATTTTTTGACGATAAAATCCCTAAATCACGACCGGGATAAAATCGAAGTAGCCCAACCTGTTATCCCGGTTTCTTAACATCGTTACTTAACAACTCGAGGTCAATACTGCTTTCAATGAAACGATATATCGAAGATCGATATCCTTCCTGTTTTCGCGGTTTCCTAATAAAGGTTCGATATCCTTCCTATTATCCCGGTTTCCTAATAAAGGTACATCCCGGTTTAATCATGACTATCCTGTATAGGTAAAATTCCTCCCTTTTATCCCGGTCTTTATGAAGAAATCCCGTTTTATCCCAGTCAATACTGCTTTCAATCAAACGATATATCGAAGATCGATATTCAAAGATCGATATCCTTCCTGTTATCCCGGTTTCCTAATAAAGGTTCGATATCCTTCCTGTCATCCCGGTTTCCTAATACAGGTACATCCCATTTTATCCATGACTATCCTGTATAGGTAAAATAAACGATTTATCGAAGATCGATATTCAAAGATCGATATCCTTCCTGTTATCCCGGTTTCCTAATAAAGGTACATCCCGTTTTATCCATGACTATCCTGTATAGGTAAAATTCCTCCCTTTTATCCCGGTCTTTATGAAGAAATCCCGTTTTATCCCAGTCAATACTGCTTTCAATTAAACGATATATCGAAGAACGATACACAAAGATCGATATCCTTCCTGTCATCCCGGTTTCCTAATAAAGGTACATCCCGTTTTATCCATGACTATCCTGTATAGGTAAAATTCCTCTCTTTTATCCCGGTCTTTATGAAGAAATCCCGTTTTATCCCAGTCAATACTGCTTTCAATCAAATGATATATCGAAGATCGATATTCAAAGATCGATATCCTTCCTGTTTTCGCGGTTTCCTAATAAAGGTACATCCCGTTATGTCCATGACTATCCTGTATAGATAGAATTACTCCTTTTTATCCCGGTTAATATTAATAAATCCCGTTTGATACGTAGGTATTATGTTTAATATCGAATGATTTAAGGGAGCATACATTCAAATTTCCCGGGGATTTTCAATGACGTTTTCTGATTGGTTAATGAACGACCAATGAGAATGCGAAATGACACGGACGTACACACAAAAAAGGCCTTATTTTTTTTTACTATAGTAAGATAAGATAAGAAATATTTAAAAAATATTAATTGGATCAGAGAAAAATTATGATCAATGCATGCAGAAAAATATAATATGCTTTTTCGGTGTGGTTAATAAATGATAGTACGAGTAATAGCTAAAGTCCACATTATAAAAATTAAGCTCAAAAGTTCAAGGGTACCATGGGATGTTTGAACTTATTCTAAACGGCGATATGGACCAAAAAAGGGTTCCTGTGTGCCTCTTTGTATTAGCAGAAAACATTCAGATTTTTGGGGGGAGAAAGGGGGGCGTAATACAGTGATTGTTATAGTTTGACTTCTCCCGAAGAGTTGTGCCTACCATGCGTCTCGGTTCTTGAAATCAGTCTTTTTTGTACCCTGGTAAAAATTAGCAGTAGAATCTGTGTTCCAAAATACGGCCGGCTGTAAGATTTCCAATAGCTTCTATAGCTGGCTACACAATTTCTTATAGCCTTTTATAGCCGAACTAAGCAACTCACAGCCAGGCGATAAAGTGTATGCTAAACGTTACTAATTACGGACGCTAGGACTTTGTGAGTTTTTGGACCACTGCTCTCTTTTTGGGCCGTAATATCTTGATTTATTTAGCGAGGAAAGCTCCGTACTTTTGATGGATGCGTGGATGCCTGCCATTCCTAATATATTAAAGCGCCTTCAGTTTTGTATGATACTGTGCAATACCTCTGGTGTGAAATAGTTACTTCAAGCGCCGTGGCACGCTGCGGTGCGGCAGGTGAGCAGCCAGCGCGAAGCGCGCATTAGCGCCTACAAACCTAACAGGGATACTTCACGCGTTGCGCAATGCGTGAAGTATCCCTGTTAGGTTTGTAGGCGCCAGTGCGTCGCCGCCGCTCCGCTTCGTGTTAGGCTCTAATATTTAATCTGGCGAAGCCAGCGTTATTCAACACATGATTTTGAAATGTTTGCACATCCTGTATGGATCATTCTCGTTTTAATTGTTGAAAAAAAAATATGTATTAAAGAAAAATGTAACGTGTGTTTTGTAAATATTAAGGTGGTTCCGTATCAAACTTAATGATTTTCAAAGCACACGAATTTCTACACAATTTCTTATAGCCTTTTACAATCGATGGCGAAAGAGCAACAGCTAGGCGATAAAGTGTAAAACCCGGCTATCGGAACTACAGCCCGGCTGCTTAATTTTTTATCGCTTCGTATAGCCCGGCCGTATAATTTTCTCCGCATTCTACAGCCAGCTATATGATGTTCTGTTGCCTTCTTCAGCCGGCCATAAGAATTCCTATGGTATTTTGAAACGCAGCTCTTATCGCCAATTTATACCAGGGTACTATGCTCCTCGGTTCTTGAAATCAGTCTATTTTGTACATCATGTTGTGCGGCAAATTTGGCCTCGTTGAGGTGTTCATCACGTATTTATGATGCTCTTTTATGTTGCATAGATAAAGGGATTACACAGTCATACTTAGAAAATAAGGCAAACTTAAACGGAACACAATTCACTCAATTTATTCAGGACTTTTTTTTTACAAAATAATACAACCTTAAAACATAACACGGTTAAACTTATATACATTAATGACTATATACATAATCTTTAGTGCGGTAAGTATATTACGATTATCAGTCTTGTATCGTTCACAGTCAGGCCATGTCTATTTACATGTATTTGGTTGACCTTTCCGTGGACGGCTTTATTTTCATAAACTACAAACCGAAAATTTTGGAGATGGGATTCACGTAATAAATTGACAGGACCAGCCATCATTAAAGAAAAAAAGACAAATTCAACAGTTGATCCTGACAACAAGTTTTGCAAATACAAAAACTCTCGGTGGAATATTACGCATAGTCAGAAAATTTCATTTTTTTTTCTTTTTTGGTAATTTTATCGTTTTGGTTTAGAGAACAAAATTTTCATTCTTCAATTTTGTGAAAATAATCATACAATTATTCTTACATGAATATTTCGTTCAAAATTCACAGTAAGGAAACATGGAGCATATCCAAGAATATTCCATGTAGCTTACGATTTCAATTGGACGCAATATGTTTTTCCTGAACCAGCAGGTGATGACGAAAAAGGACGTGCATTTGGGATTGTTTTTCTTATAGGAGTTTTTCTGTCAAAGTTTGAGAGATTTCATTAATTTACGTCTAATTTCTAAATGAACTTTAAGAAAAGTAGACAATCAGGGGGACATGATTTAAACTAGTAGCAAAGTAGACTTTAGACATAGTATGAGAACTTTCTATTACGGCTTGGACATGCAGTGTTTTCTGAGCAGAGTGGCTTTGCACCTATTCGAAATCGACACGATGAAGTGCTTGAGAAAACCCTGCGTATAACTAGTAATCGAGCACTTGGAATTTTTACGTTGAGATCTTGCAGGTTGAAACTTAAGTTCCTAGATGACAAATACATTGGGAGCAAAAATTTGAAAAGCTTTGTTTACAACTGCTTGTTGTAATCGAATCATAAGAGAGCGAGACGCGTCGACAATGACGCAGGACACTTTTCATGAGATAAGCGAGCCATATATCGAATATCGATGGTAAAACGGGAAAACATACATCGCGGTTTGCAAAGTCGCGGAACTATCATCCATAAAAAATTCTCGGGGAAAACCGAAAATCGTTATGGCGCGAGATTCCTCATGACTTTTCTCCGCTTTGTCAAAAATATTCTCTGAAATTTGTATGAAAAAATACTAAGCAATAATTCTCTCAGAAAAATGAGATATGAGCGGAGATTTTGAAATATGGACATGTCAATAATGTTTCTCCAGTTGTACTGTCGATATGGTACAGTATAATTTTTCGGTGCCCCTGTGTAATATAATAGCCCTTGTATTTCCTCTGATTTACCATGAAAGATGAACAATTATCGCATAAAAAATATGGATCGTATTCGATACATCAAACGGATGAGATTGTATCGATATCGATTGGTTCAAAACATAAACATAGCCTCAAAAGTAAATTCAGAAATCTGAGAGAGCGGGTCTTTTGTAACGGATTTTTTATTCTTTTGAGTACCAAATGCCAATGCAAAATGAAATTGTCAGGAAATATCTCATTTTCAGCTTTTCTAACTTGAATCCTTACAGTTTGGTTTGAGGTTATGTTCTATTGTTTTGAACCAAACGATACATCGAACCGTTATCGAATACGGTCTATTAACGGTTTAAATTGAGGTAAAAAAAATACGTCGGCTGAATTTTTGCCTTTTTAGTTGGATAGTTCCTGTGTTTACTTTAGTCTTAAGAAATGTCCTCTTCGTTCGTGAGCATTCCTAGCGTGTTAATTAAGCATCGAAGTAAGCGCGGTCTAATATTTGGCGCACACGCAAGCACCTCGGCGAGCAGTTAGTGGATGTCGTGAGTGGTGTTTTGAAATGCAGAGTTTAATTGCAACAAGAGTCGATGTGTACCCCTCTTTTCCAGAGCCCAATTTACGAAATTGAACATTGCAACAAAACTACTGGTTCAAATTTTGGTTTGCGGCCGGATTTTTTTCAACTGAGTTACATGTAATCGGGAGATTATTCACTTGAGGTTTTTCTCTTCCGTTTATTTTTTCGCGCAGCGTGAGGGAGGAATTTGACCTATCCGAGTTCGGGTTAAATACCTACGAAAGTTTGTATTTTCAAAAGTAGAAATTTTGCTTGTGAAAATTTGACCGTAATTTTGTCTTACCCGTGGCCGTTTTTCAAAAGTTAAACCAATGAAGCTCAATGTGAACGGGCAGCAATAATTATGTTTACCCAAACCGGAAAAAAGCAATTGAGAAATACTTTAAAGAAATTGGATTCAGTGTCGCAAGAAAAACCGTAACTTCGAAAGTTTCTTGTTGCGCTGAGAGACACTCTTGTTGAAATATGGAGGTGATCTATACGCAATGCCGTAGAAAATGTTAGCTGTAACCACGATATGTATAGTTGTCGTGATATAATTTTTCTGGCTGTGCTTTAAAATCGTTTGTTTTTGCTATTAAACTTTTTCTTTGTAAAAATTAGGCAATATTCCTCACAGTAGCAGGTAATTTTTCGAGTGCGATGACCTAATTCGAGTTTTTTTCCCCTCAGAGAGTGAGCAACCGGTTGGATAAAAAGTGAACGCTGTATCTGTACCTATTTGTATAACATGGAATGTTAGTTTTTATGAAGATAAACTTTCGAACGCGACTATGCATCAAAAAAGTACTTGCTAAGCAGAAACCAAGCATCCGTGTTAGGTTTTAGTTTGGACTTACGCGGTTTAACCCGACAAAGTAGATTAATCGGGCGATTAACGCCAGAAATTGGAGCGCTTGCCGGTCTGAGCCGAAATCGGCGAATATTGCGGAAACTTAAATTAAATTTAATCAAAGTTGGATTTCTAGAGGATGTGACACGCGGGTGTCGGAAAACTTTGCCAACCCTCGTTGCCGTTTAACACGTGGTTCAGTTTTACATCGTGCGGATCGATTTACTTTCATTTGAAATATGGCAACGTTTTTGCCATCCAAATCGACTTCAGACGCTAACTCTCAAGCATAGCCGCGAAATATGCCACGTAATTACCTCTAACGAGATGGATCGTTTACTAGCAACTGAGAAATTTGGATGAATTTGTGCTAAAAGGGACTATGTGTACAGGGTTTACGTTGAACATAGTTCCTTTTAGCATAAATACAACCGTTTGGATGATGGGAAGGGTGCGCGCGCGCGCTGCTCCGACGCGAATTTAAATCCCATATGCGATTTTTAGATAATATCAAATGTGATCAACGGTCTTTGACCTCGAGGTGTAATAAATAGACTGCATTTTGCAATTTGGAACTATTAATTCTGGCTCTTCTGGAAAAACATTTAAGTGCATAGGGAAACTAATGGCTCATTCGTTGTTTTTAAACCGGGCTAGAATTTATATTTCCAAATTGCAAAATGTAGTCCAAATGTAGTGCAAGGGCTAAAATCCTGTTAAAGTAATTCTTTTAGGTCAATAAGTTTTTCACGCGTCTTAGAAGGAGTCTTGAACTCTGGTAATGGCTGTGGGTCACGTTTATTATTTATTTGTCTGTGTCTCTGACCATGAAAAATAGTTTTACGCGACTCAAGCATCAGCCTGCCCCCGGAGAAATTGATTTTTCGATTAAGATGATTTTATTCCAAACGTGCTCTTTCATAGAAACAATATGGCGATTAAAAACGGTATAATCACGTAAGCAAATCTGCATCCGCATTTGGAGATTTAAAAGGAAACATTTTTAAGAGGGAAAACCGCTTGACAAAGGGTGATGGTTTGCCGAGGGTGTACTTTGAATTTCCTGCAAATTAAACGAGAGGAGTTCCATACACGAGCCGAGATGAAATTAAACGACACATTGATGGAAAATTATATAATGGTCCCAAACAAGGAAGCCGAACTCGTCACGTTTCCTGAGCGTATATCCAATCGTACCCAAACACTCAACAAAATATCTTAGGGGTAGTCGTTTAAATTATTTATACTTAATTGGGCATAGCGAATAATCGACAGGGCTGCCGCGCCGAGAAACAGCGCCGTATGGACATTCGGATGTTGCCTAATTTACCCAGATAAAGTACGTATTTCAGAGAAAAGCTAAGAATTTTTTTCCTTTAGAATTTTAGGAACAATGAAACAAATTAAGAGTAAAATTCCTTGAAAATTTAGAAAAGATAATTTTCAAGTCTTCGAGAAAAGTCTCACTTTATCGGAAGAAATTTGGCAACGTATGAATGGTCATACGGCGTTGTTGCTTAGGATAGAGTTATCTAATTAGATCCGCGAGGGTGGACGGTTTCTGACGACCGCTTTAAGGAGCCTCCGGTTGTGTTCGGATCCTGAGAGAAGCCGCGGTACAGCAGATGGCGTAACGTAGCGCGGTTGACGTTACGTTGCCGCGTAGTGAGAAATAGCGTTAGGCTCATTTAATGGCTCAGCAGCGTGGATAATAGATTTAGCTACGAGGTTTGGACGCTTCGCCTGGCATTGACCGAAGCGACCGATTCATTTTGCACTGCAGTCTCTGGCTCGAGGGGTGAAGGATAATTGAATTTGATAACAGATGTTGTCGTCCGAATATCCACGATTTGACTCAATGTGCAATCGACGGATTGAAAAAGCTATTTGTGCTTCAAACGCTAAAAAAATAGTGATATGTAACGAGATTGGCGATTAATATAGTCGAAACGAATAAAATTCTCTCTGCGTGGCGCGAATAAAAAGTTTTTCACGGCATTGATGACAGTGGCGTGGCGTGCTTTACGATTTATCGATTGATCTGCCATTTAAACCTGTGTAAAAGGATCGATAAATAGGGTGTTCGCAGCGAACACCTTAATAATCGATTCTATACCATAGCTTCAATACGGGCATATCGATTATCGATCATTTCCGCCTCGCCACTGATCGACAACTGTCTTTTACAAAAATACTGATGTTGACTGTACAATTAGTAGTTTCTAACCGGAGAAGTGCTCATTTATCTCTAGCGCTGAGCTTGCTAGAGTAATAGAAACATGGTACGATGGCATCATAAAGTTTGTTTGTTTTTTTTTAAACGTAACGTAAACTAAATTATACACCTATAATCTGAATTTTCAAATCAAAACACGAGACTAGATGTTTTATAAACTAGAATTTTACAACATTCGATTGTAAGTCACTTGGAGTGGCAATGTTACTAATTAGCGCGGAATTGATTACCCTGAGATGAAAATTGCGAATACTTTCCTGCTTGATGAAGCATGTTAAAAGCAGTGGCGAGGCGTGCTTTGCGATCTATCGATATTTCCCCATTTGAAGCTGGGGTAAATAATCGATTTTTAAGGTGTTCGCTGCGAACACCCTGTTTATCGATACTTTTCCATAAGTTTAAATGGGCGATCAATCGATATATCGCAAAGCACGCCACGCCACTGGTTAAAAGTGAGCTCACACATGAAATGAGACTTGCAACTAATGACACTCTTGCACGCAAGTCTTGAGGAGTCTCAAAGTTTTAACAGAACGATAAAAATGCTAATTAATTCGCACTTAATTAAATAATCAATTGATTGATTAATTAATAAATTAAACAAATCAGCAACATATACAACAACTGGATGACAAGGAAGAGCATTACAAGATTAGTATGACGTACAATTTATCAAAATTTCCCTCGATTATCGATGAGTCTTAAACCGAATTTTCTTTTTTAAAGTTAAATATGTAAAGAATACAGCTGAGAATCTTCAGCTCCAAACACAATCTAATAAGTTAAAAAACATGCATGGAAAAAAGTATTTTAATTAGGGTAGTGCAATACTTCCAAGATTTTCCTCATAGAGTTTCTGTATCTTTTTTAATCTCTCCTTTTTTGAAAATGCATTTTTGCTGGAAATTGACGATAAAGTAGTATCAGGCAAATAATGACAGAAAAGCCATTTTACATTAATGGAATTAAATTATGGTGGTTTCCCACTGAGTAGAGCAAAAATTATATGTTCAGTATTCTTGAGGCGATAGCTGGAAAAAGTATATTTGAGCACTGCTTGTTTGCTCCTAGTTGGAAGATTATAAATGCAGAATAAATTACAATAGAAAATAAACAATAAAGGCAATACTTCAAATATTTTGTGTGATAATCTCAATTGAACAATGACAGCTTATCCAATTTGAATGTTACTTAGAATCATATCTGGTGAGCGTCAAAAAATGAAAATACACAGAAGATAGTGGAAAATGCAAAATGTGACATTTCTTGGCATGTTATGTGAATGTTTCCTCTCGATTCTCTACGATCTCATCTGGTAGTGGTGCACTCAGTATTATGAAAGGAAATATGTCGAGTGGGGCTGGTGCATGGGAGGCTCAGGTTTTTAAAATATTTAAATCTAAAATTTTAATTTTACAAACACATCGAAGTTTGCAGCCTCCCTTTCCCAAAGAAGTATAACATTTCTCCATACTATATCACATTTATTAAACAAAATTCTCCTATACGTCACGAGCAAATGTTTTTAGAGATCGGAACATATATAGATTCAACGATTCATGGCGGTAAACGAATAAAATTTTGTGCAGTGGCTTACCTATTTGACACCACTTGATAAATTCATCATAAAATCCAACGAAGTTTCACTTTCTGGCGTGAAACATAGGAAAACAGAGAACGAAACATTCTGCAAGACATTATGCATTTTTGTCTCCTTTTAAGATTTCCTCCATTTGTGCATTTCTTTACAGGCGGAAGCTGGGAAGGAGGTGACAACTACATCTTCCCTGCTCTCTTCCAAATAACTTCAGCGAAAAGAGGAAAAAATATCCGCCCAGCATGAAGTTGTTTGCATCGAAAAATAGGGTGTACACCCCCTAACGGCGACGCAACCCCACGATAAATTATTTCAAGAGCTGACTATGCTCTGTGGATTCAACCCGACTCTCCGAGAATCGAGCACGGTTGACCATACCGACGAACCGGTGCCAACTTGACTTAATAAATCCAGGAACTTGATCGAATTTCACCATAAAACGGCGATTCAGGAGCTAAGCATCCGGGTCCGAACGAGGACCTCCAACAGCCCGAGTTTCCCACTCGGCGAAACCCGGGAGTTAACGATTCCTCGACGGATCCACGTAGGCTAAACTAGAGTTCCTCTGGGCCTCACACTGGGCGCTGGAGATAATATCGTTGACCTTATTACTGATCACCCCGATCTCGGGGGTCGGCGATTCAGGAAGCTCCACTTCACCGCCCGCAGCGCCGTCTTCCGACACGCGGCAGGGTTTGGAACTAACGTCTACGGAGGTCGACGACGAGCTGATGTCTACGGAAGTCGAGGCCTCCAGGATCGGCGCGGCGTCCTTTTGGCAGTTGCTGATGGCGACCGTCTCCTCGTAGGCCGGGGGGTCGCCCATCGGGCCCTGGTGGACGTCCGTGGCAGTGGTCTTGTGGACGGGGGCGAGCTTCGAGGGGACGACGGCGACGACGTTGTAGGAGCGGCTCGTGGTGGGCGCCTCGACGCTACTACACTCTGGCGCCGAACCGAGTTGCTTCCGGATCCCGCGGATGCTCTTGCGGAGCACCCGGCTCAGCGTGTTGTTGTTGCTGTTGTTCGGAGCGACGGCGTCTTCGCTGGGTTTGTTGCCGGTCTTCTTCGGGTCGTGGCTCGGGTCGGCGATGTTGACCCGCGCGGTGTCCTCCTTGGAGCTCACGCACTTGTCGATGAACGTGTAGTTCTGCAGGGGGAGCAGGGCCGCCGGGTTCAGCTTGATGGCGTCCTCGTAGCACGGGGGAACGTCCACGACCGTGGCGTAATCTGGCGGCTTCTCGAGGGAGAGGTCTGGACCCTCGAGCGACTCTACGTGCATGCCCGCCTCCTGTAACAAAATTAAAATTCGGATTAGTGTTTGTTCATTCCGACAGGGACAAAATTTGGCAATTGGAGAACTTGATTTGAATGCCCCTTACCCCATCGCACCAGGGGCGGGGAGGAGGACGAGCAGCATAGCTGCTAAAGGGTATGCCCCTGAACTCTTGTAAAGAGCAGTGAAGACCAAATATTTAAAATCGAGTTATCCGTAAAACCCAACCTTTAAATATACTGAATGTCTCCTTTCAAACAGCAAATTTCGCTTTTCGAACCTTACGAAGCTTTTAATGAAGAGAATAATGCGAAGCTCGTCTAAGAGCTTTGAGTGTGCAACAGTGGCGATTTTACATGTTGACAACACGATTTCTCCTCTACCTAATATAATCTAATGACTCCAATAAAAATATCGATTTTAGGTGAGGCAAGCAGCCTCACCAAGAATCGAATGTTTCATACACATGTAAATGGAGGAAAAACCGTGTTGTCAACTTTCAAAAATTGCCACCGGTGCGCAAACATTGACATCATTTTCAACAAAACAGCAGTAATGCCACAATATCTCGCGAGAGATCTGTGCTAACCGGCGTCTCGAGCAAAATGGTGCCATTCTCTGCCATATTACTTAAATTATTTTTTGGTATTTGTTGAAAACGTGACTAAGCAATGCATGCAGAAGATGACACGCACGATTGTCTTGACCAACATGAAATGAAAACGTCCCTTTTTCATAGTCAAAGTAAAATTTGTTGATTATTTACGGTTTTTTTTTTGTATTGAGAATTTTAAAACTAATTGATAAAAATTAATTGCTGTTACGCTGAAAAAATACCGCGGGACCAAGTTTCCGCATTCAAAGTAAAGAAGAAAAAGAAGTTCAGTTTCTATCATTCATGAAACTAGACAGGACTCTGTGTTTAATCCACCACAATGGACTACTAGACAAGGTACGAATTTCAGCATTCTGATACATGTTTCCTGACCAAAATTTCACGTAGAACACGATACGCACAACGAAAATTACCGAAATTAACTCCTTACGAAGATATTTAATGATTCTTGATGCGTGAATTGAAACCACCCGCTCATGAAAACTCAATGCTCTACGTGATTCACATCGCGCGCTAAACATTATCATGACAATCTTTGCGATATAAAAATCTGGCAACCTCAATCTTGACGCTTTGGCTCAGCTATAGCAAATTGTTAATAGTTTGAACAACACATGCCACAGTGGGCCAGGGAGGCCCGTTTTACGCGAAAAATACCGTTTTTATGAGTGTCCAGTATTGTATTGATGATGAGGAATTCGTTAAAGTGACTCTCTAAGGGATGAGAATTCATCAAAATTTCATCGAATAATCGCCCAGCAGCGATGTATTGGAGGGGAGAACTTGGGTACCTCTCACACTGCACGGATAATATATAGTAGCGCGTCTTGAACTGCAACCGTGTAAGGCCTTATCACGGTTCAGCGGTTTCGCGGGGTAAAAATTTGTTCACTAGGACTTATTCTCCTAAGAAAGAGCTTTCATTTGATGTATACACTTTTTCCATTGCGCACTTTTCACTGTCCAAAAAGCTTGTTAGAAAATGTGCCTAATAAATCTTAAAAATTCCATCGAAAAAGCTTTCTACAGTTTTTTCCTTAAGTTTCCTTAGAGTTTTAGGGCCAGATACTTATTCTTTAAATCCTCAACATTCATTTGCACTACAGCTTTGCTGCGGGAAACTGCGGGAAACCCATTTTTTTAATTTTTTTAATAAAAAAGTCGACTCATCAAAAATAGGTTTAAGTTCATGTTTCACATATATGACCTTAGATATCGTACAATAAATGAATTCTTCCGAGTGAATAGTAATAATATTATTAAATTGAGCTGCTACGCTACTGAGGGTCCGCAATTTTTCCATGGTTGCCACATTTTCTCGTATTTAATGATTACAAAAAAGGTTCTCAGATGAGACGATACTATAAATCTGTCTGTCATTCTGTCTTTCATATTTTTCTTCTTTTCCGTAAGTGAAATTATTAATAGTACCATACGGGTACTATATGTGACCCAGCAGGACAAAATGCGCCTCTAAAGGAAAGCTGATATTGTTTAGTACATCAGAAAACAGTTTGAGGGTAAAAAAAAAACCCACACTACTTCAGTTTTCAATGATTATAATTCCTAATGTAATATTCTGAAGGGCATTTGAGTCAATCTCTGGAGCCATGATTTGCGTTATTTATAATGTAAGCTTTTAAGGTGGATCGTTCCTCCAGATAAGCAACTGTGCAGACAAACTTTAACTGCTATTTACTTGGGAAACTTGTGTTTCTCCCTCGGACTTTTAAATGCTGCAAAGTGGTCAAATTCAGGAATTTTTCAGTTATAACTTTGTGCCAACTAATGCAGAACTAACCCCTCTAACCCATGGTACTGTTCACCTAAAGGCAAATTTTGTCCTGCTGCTTCACTTATGTCGTTTGGTTTCCTGAATGTAATTGTGTCCTTTCACATACGAGACCATCACAGCAACTCACCTACGGTTTTCGTGCTTGTCAAATGTATTGACGATTTCAATCGCACTAGAAGCTGCTATTGTTGACTAGCTCAATCGACGGCAAATCCGTGGATATTTGAATTTAGATCTGATTTGATACAAAACTTTTTTTTCTCTTTCTTTTTTTATTTTTATTTAAATTTCTGAATTTTGAGCTTTGTTAGCCGATAATTGGTAAACATTTGGGCGGAACTTATTGAAGTTCAAGAATGTTGCACCAAATGCAAGAGTGGTAAATAGATACTGTTCAGCTGACCGTCATTTCCAATAAACGTTGTAAGTAAATGTTGTCCATTCTCATGCCAAGCGCCGCTAAACAAAAATTCATAGAATGTTTTTTTGATCCTCTGACATGATACTTGATAGCTTACAACAGCAAAACGTAGAAACATGAAACCATGGAGGGCATTACTTTGCAAAATTATTTTCACTTAAACATGGTAACCCACAAGAACCAATAATACGAGGAGACAGTGACCAAAAAGAAAAAAAAAATTAACATGTAAAGCGTTCCTAGGTGAACATTCTCGTCTTTTATACTTCTAATTTTAACAATATTAGATCGTTTTCCAGACTCTTCTTGGTCACATTCAAGTTCTCAATTTTGTTTCTGAAAGTTTCTCCAGCGTTAAAATGGTTCCTAATCTCAGTGAGATTGCTCATAAAAAGGAATCATCACTGGACTAGCGTATATCCTCATAACATACTTTTCCTGTGATTTTTGAAAAAATCTGATATCAAATTCGAGTTCAGCGACCCAAAAAACCCCCGCAAACCAAAACTTGGTGATTTTCGTTCGGATTTAGCCGAGATATCAATTATTCTCGCGCAACCGGCACCTCTGGCCCACAGTGACATGGTGGGAAATGAAAATTGCTCGATTGAGAAGCTGGCTGAAACCGTTGTAGTGCGCGATTTGACTCACGTAGAGCTTTGAGTTTCTTGTGAGCGGGAAGTTCAAATTCCTCGTAACCAGTGTGAAATAAAAACGTTAATATCTTCGTTAGGAGTTGGTTTCAATAATTTTCGTTACGTGAATCGTGTTCTACGTAAAATTCTGGTTAAGAAACATGTATTAGATTGCTTAAATTCGTACCTTGTCTAGTGGTCCATTATGTCTTTGCGGGCGGACGCAGCGATGCGACGCAGCATCGTAAGTAGCCCCTGGATACAACTATTCGTGCTCGATGGATGTCCGTGTTGCATATTGAACGAAATGAAGGCGTTTTGGCTTCCCATGCACCCGCGCTCAATGCGTGGCGCGATTAGTGCGCGCAGCAATATAGTGCAAGTCGCGAATAAAGCTCACTGTGTTTTGATGAGCAGAAATGAGAAAGTACAAAGAGCGATTCCCGTGAAAAAGAAATTACTCGCGAGCAATTTCAGGATAACTTTAGCCTAAGAGTCTTGACTTTACTGGCTTACTGAAAGGTATTACATTGATTCATTGGGATGGTTTTTATTGAGTAGGTTTTCAGTATTTTTTAAACTTTTATTTAGTATATCGTCAGTAATATTTGTTCAATATTTTACGAGTATTATTTGATATTTTAAGAAACATTATTTTAATGTTCATTCAAGATTTAGATGAAAATATTTTTTAAATATTAAACTAATGTTGAGAATATATCTAAATATTAAAGAATACTTCATCAAAGAATATTTATATAAGTACATTTTTTTATTTAGAAAAAATGTCATACGACATACATGAACCAATTGGCAATATTGTGACAATGTTGGATAAATGAACTGTCTCGCCTGAGCGGATGGCGATAGGCCATTTTTAGCGCCCTTTTTATATGGTGCCCCGTACAACCACACAGTTTTTAGTGCGGCTCTCAAACTGTCACTGCATAGTAACATGAAATTGTCTACTTTGTGATCGTTACAAGATCGCCTCGCCACTCTCTTAAAAAGTTTAATTGGTTGCCTATTTGCGATCTACCTCAGAACTAAGCCCGATTTAAGACGTTTGTCGCAAGTGGAGCTGCCAAATTTTAGTGCCTTATACGGTGTAACGGTTTAGTGCCTTTCCGTTAAATGTACTGGTATCATAAAATTCATTTACCTCAGGGTGCAGGATTTTAATCATTTTGTCATTACGTGCCATAAAATAGACATAACTTGATTGAATGGATTTGCCCTTGGACCAACTTTATTGGTGCGCCTTGATTAATGTGTGGGCGATTTTTGCGAACCATTAAATGGCTTTAAAAGAGGCACCGATACACAAGTCGTTCAATATTCCTAAAAACTATTAATCTAAAATGGTCCATTCACAGTCGTATTTTTGAACTTACGCAACTTTCCCCTTCGTTTTGCATTGGAAACATGTACGGACCGAATTTAGCGAAATGAAAGCAAGTGCCTAAATAAATTGCAATGCTGCTTGAAAAGAACGACTTACTCACCATCGCAAAAAAATCTGCGAAGTTAACTAGTTTATTTAACACTGGGAAAGGAATGAAATGGATAAAAAATGGCTCTGAAAGCTAGTTACGGACGTACGTTTTTTCTACACGGGAGAGGGGGGGGGGAGAATTTACACATATAACGGACATTGAACTAAACATACCATCAGAGAATTTTTACTATCCTCAGTTATTCAACCAGCACTGAATGATAGAGATGGCAGATGTTCCGGTATATAATTAAAAGAATCACAGTACTTCATAAAAGTGTGTCGCTTCCAAAACATTGTAGCTTTAAGGAACGCAAAAATGACGCACGGAGATACGTACATAATCTTTTTGGGGTATACATTCAATTTTAAATTTAGATACCCAATATTAACGTAAAAAAGAAGCTACTTTGCAACTTAAATCTATATTTGTATAATACGCAGGAGTATTTTCAAACCGCCTATCACTTTTTTCTCAACTCACGTTATATGTAGAGTAAAAAATCTTCAATGGAGGCCCGTGGAATTATGAGACAATAGAGCTAATTAAAGAGCAGAGAACAATAGGGAAATGGACCTGTATGTTACGGACCGATATTTCACGCGGAAAAACCATGTATTTTTACTTTAAATCGCATTAAATTCAATGGAAGAGTTATTCAACTGTTACGGATTGGTCTTGCGCTTATCCAAAACACACTCATCATTCACTCTCGATTTTGTTACCGTTAACTTTGATCAAATATTTGTATTAATCTTGAAAGTTCATGGAAGTTTATTCGGAATTTCTATGACGGAAGAAGAGGATTTCTTCCGGTTGCTGATTTGCCCACCTCGCTTTCAGCTTGAGCCTTAAGGTCATGGCATGGCTTTCCCTATTTCCTATATTCGATCATTGATACGACGTAATCGGGACCTGGAAATAAGATTCCGCGTCCGGACTTTTCATACGTTATATCAGCGATAGAGTAAAAATAGGGGAAAAGGTGCCACTATTTGTACGTTTTTTTAACTCTCACTCGTGTATGATGAAAGTAAATTATTATGATTATTTTTGCAGGAAAATGCGAAAATAAACTGCAGCGCACGGGTTTATTTTCCTCGTTGAAGTGCAGTGACACTGCTGCGAGATAATTTATGTGAGCGGAGATAATAATCAAGGTTCTCAGAGCTTTGAAGTTCATGAACAGGAAAAATATCTAAATACCCGTGATGTATATCTGTACGGCATCATTAAAAGATTTCCATTCTTGTTCCCCGTGATGGGCAAGCATCTCATACTTTAACAAATTACTATTGAGAATCCACTTTACTCTTAGGACTTGAGGAGACCATGCTCAACACGTTGTTCATCAATCATCATTTTGCGAAAAACAGCATTAATCTCTCAACTTAACTTTTGTCTCACCTGGTTACATTTTGATGACCAAAATGCGAAACCACGTATCACCGTTTGCAACGTTGCAGAATTTCTATCAAATTCCATTCTTTATTGAAAAGTTAGTCAACTTAATTTCTTAACAAACTACCTGCTTTTTCTTGTTTATTCGCAGAATACTTCGTAAAAATTTCAAAGAATATGGTTGACTTGTTTTTCTTTGAAAAAATAAAACGAGAGGAGAGATTTTGAAACACCGCAATTAAGATACGTAGTTTTCCACTTTAGTCATCAATTTCTCTGTGCGGTGTTCAGAATTAGAAAAAATTAGAAGTAGAAAAGAGGTTTAGAATCGAAAACTGAAAATCGACATTTTTCACCGCAAACCGGCTTTTTCGCGGCACTGAGCAATTTGAGTTCCCACGCCCTATAGGAGCTTTTCCCCCTTCTGAGATTACACATGTCTCTGTTCTTTTCAAGTAAGGTATTTTTAGGGTTGGTTCTCTAACACTTTAGAGAACGATTAACGATCCAATAGTCGATCTATCAATATATTATTCCTAGATTTTTAGACATTTCTTAAAAGAAATTGTTTTTCCCCAAGCATCATATCACGCGATAGTCCCATTAGGTATTTGCTCACCAAAAAAAAATTCACCGAAGAAATTTTTGAAATAGCCCCGAGAATACATCCTGAGTAAATATCGTTTTGTCTTTTTGCGATGTTCACTCGGAATGTATTTTCAAAGCAACCTCAAAATGTCTCTTCGGTCAAAGTGTGTGCACAAATCGTCGTCCCTCTAACGTAAGGGCGTAACTCTATTTCCATGCGAGCCCATTGAGCTATATGGAGAGCAGAGCCCACGTAGAAACTGAGATTCACCCTTACGACACAGGGCCCACAGCGTGATTTGATACTCAAAAACTTTTGATACTCAAAAACTCTTGAGAAATGTCCGAAAATCTAGAAATAATCAATTGATTGATCGATTCTCAAATCCCACTTCAGAGTTCTAAAACCTCAACTTATTAAATTATCGTGGGTATCTGATACACGTGTGAGTCACAAGCGCTTCTTGAAAGTGAAACACCAATAAGAGACCAGGATTTCGATCGCTCAACGTCGAGTTATCGAAATCCTCCTTGCCTATTGGTGTTTCACTTTCAAGAAGTGCTTGTAAGTTACAGGTGTACCTGGGCTTTGAAGTAGATTTGACTTACACTATCGATATTGACGGTGGCAGGACGAACGCTCTTCATCCAGAAGCACATGGCCAGGCAGATGAGGATGGCCCCGGCTGCGATGAGCCCGACGCCGATGTACCTGATGGCCGGCACGGGGTCCGAGTATGAGTCGGCCACCCCCAGCCAGTTAAACAGGGCGCCCACGCACAGTAGGGTCATCCCGAACCGGTACGGACGCTGCGACTGCTCCACCAGCACCATCTGTCAACAAAAATAAAAAACCATCAGTTAACCACATCCAAACAAGAAAACAGAGTTTTAAATACATAACCAGGGATAGTTAAATGTCCTACTTCGATAAGTGCGCATAACTCGGCGAAAATGAAAAGTCCATTTTACTGCAGACAGGACTGTAGACATTTTTCTTTAAATTATTCTTTTTAATTTTTTATATTCGTCTTTCTTTTTATATTGGCTAGTGGGCTACGCCCTCAGATCGCTTTGCAGTCCAACCCCCGCAGCGCTTCACGCCTCAGGCGTTGCGTTGTGCATTGCGAGTTACTCTTAAAATTATGTGGGCACAAATTCTTGTTTCAGAAAGTGTCCGACTTCACGTTTAAAATGCGCTGATATTCCATTATTAAAGGAACAAAATTTTTCATATTTTTGGCTGTCAGGACTCTATTTGGTAATTGAACGGAATGTGTTAAAAATTCTTTCCATTCAATGAGAAATTTTCGGCTGGATTCAATTTTTCGTTTTCTGGATTTTATTTTCAAACTTGGGCACTTCCCAAAACATGCTGTTCAATCGAATAGCGTTAACCAAACCAGTCATTACGTTGTGTCTTTTTGAGAAGAATCGATTCATTTAGCGGAAGTATTTGGAGCAAATTAAAATTGGTCGGGATCGCGTTCAGAATGGGGAATGGAGAAATCATGAATGCCCAACAGACCATATCGTTTATAATATGACGGAGCATCTTATGTGCAGTATATTCTTGCACAGAGTATGGCAGATGGCAGGTTGTCAAAAAAGCTACTGAATTTGGTTCCTTTTGGCAGAAGATGTATAAAAGAACCCCGACAAAAGAGTAAAAGCATGGAACACAATCCGAAATGCACAAGTGCGAGGTTTCCAGAAGGTTATAGGTTCGCAGATTAGAGAACAGTGAAGTATAGTGATAGTGCGCCCGTATGATTTCGGTCGTGTTTGGCACACTTAATTTTGTGGTCGATATTAAAAGACAAATTTTGTCTCCCAGTGATAATAACCAGATAATCCAAAGAGTGCTTGAATGTATTGAATGGAATGAATTCATGGTTCTGGAATAAAATATCAATATTTTTGTAGAGTGCCAACGAATGGCGCCGACCGTCTATATCAAATCATTCACGATACGGGTGCTTGAGGCTTGCAATTTTTCACGTAAATACTTAGTGTTTTAGATAATTGTTAGCCAAGTAGTTGTGCTAAACTTTCTTATTCAAGCACCTTGTATCTTAACTGTAGAGCGATTTCAGACAAGCGAAGCAAGCACATTTTCGGCACGAGGATTATATAGCACGTTAAAGAGGTAAAAACGTGTCTCTCTCAAACATTCAGATAAGAACGAAGATTAACAAGAGAAAGAAGCGTGGGAGGTAATGTAAGAGAATAGGAAAAATGGTGGAAAGTGGAATAGGTAGAAGAATAAAAATCAAAAGAGGGGGAAAGAAGAATAAGTAGAATAAGGATAAAGCAAGGAACAAGACGAGGGAAGAGAGGGAATTGAAGGAGAGTGAGAAGGGAGAGGAGGAGAAAGGGAAGACAATTAAAATTGAAAAGGAGGAGACACATAATAAGAGAAATGAAGTGAAGCAAAGATGATGAAGGAGATGAAAAAGATGATGATGAAAAAAGAGAAGAAGAAGAATGAGATAAGGAGGAAAAGGAAGGGGAAGAAGTTGAAAATTGAAATACTGTGGGTGTTGATATTTTCAGTAAACTTTGTACAAGAATATAAAATGTTTCAATGAGATAGCTAGATCGCTCAGACAAACGTTAAACGTTATAAAGCTTCATGAAGATTAAAGCATTACAAAGATTCATTACCACTGAGAACTCAAAGCTATCTTCTGTAGAAGTCTCTGGGGGGTTCAACGACATTTATCTCGAGCAGCGGATAGCTCTCCTATACCAAGAGTACAGTTTCGACAAAATTGAAACTTCACGCGCACAGAGGTATTCCCGACTATCAATAATCAGAGTCTTCGCTCAACGTCCGAAAAGACCGTCAGCAACAATAATTCAACCCAAACGCTTTGGTCCAGAGAATTTCAGAGGAGCCTCCTTCAACCGAGTCGTTGCACTCAAGATTTTAATCAGAACTTGCACCAATGTTGCACACGATAAGAGTTAGTAAAATATATCAATAAATAACAAAAGTTCGAACTTTCCCCGCAAAATCCAAGATGCACCGTCAGTCCGTTGAGAGAAGTGTTCATTCTGCGAGGCCAAGCGAATGGCTCGAGCTGGCCCACCCTCTCCGGCTGAAGTGCTTGTTACGAAACTGTCATCGGTGAGATTGAAAATGACGTAGACATTTACACCTTAGTGATTAACGTTGTGACGTCTCACTTCCTTTCTTTTTATAGACTCTGAATTCATCATTCGATCGAATGAAGGATCCCTGAGGGCGAGGCGGGAAATCTACTCTGAGGGCCGTACTCATAGTCATTTTGCCGAATACGCAACAAACCTACGGAGAGCAGGAATGGTTATCTATTTGAGAAACATAAAGTACATGGTTTGATGGAGGACACCATGAGCGAGACATTTAGAAGATATTGTTCACTTGAAGTTCGCCTTCAAATTATCCGGATAGGCAACACACTCACAGCGGAGCGCGAATAAATATCTGTTCGAGAAACATACAATCATCTTGCTCCATGCTTTGTTCGTATTAGAAGTGTGTCATAATGTTGTAACTTCTTGAGAGAATTTACTTCTAAAGGTGTTGTGTTGAATTTTTTTCGAGGCTTGTTATTATTTTTTTTATGAAGGACCTCTTTAACCTTTCATAATTACGATGTAAACCTTATGAGGCCCACCTAAGGAGTGAGCTATTCAAGGAATATGACTATGAATACATTGCCAAACTTTGCTTGAAAAGGCGAAAAACATGTTCGAAAAGCTGTTGAACTTCCTTGATAGAATTAGACAATTTCATTTACTCGTTTCTTTAAGCAAAAACAAACTTTACGAGTTTAAAAAATAGCCCTCATACAATCCTCCCACGCTTGTGACAGTGAATTTCATTTGATCGAACGATGAAGCTTGAATTTGCTTCTAACGAATAGAGGAAATTACAAATTAGTAAAAAAAATATGAAAACGAAGACGGAATCAAATACTAACACTGGTGTCGTAGAAACTAAAAAAGTTGTTAACAGCCACCATTTCCAAGACAAAGCACTTTCAACTGTCGAGATAAATCGGAATTTCCAATTGATGTGGTTCAATTTTAAACTTAACGGGCTATCTCAAGCTATTTATAGTTTCAGGGGGATTTTAAACGAAACTACAAACAAGGTAATTTTGCGAAGACAATACACGTTAGCAAAATCTGCTTTGATAATTAGCGACTCGCGGACCGTCCAAACATTGGCAACGAGCAACGAACACTGAGTTGTCAAATCCAGAGAACTTGGTCTGCACAGATAACGACTCAAGGGTTAGGAGAGCAGAAAAAACAACACAAAACTAAAGTTCTTCCTTAAAGTGGATGCTATAATCTTCAAGTGTAACAATAATCAACTGAGTTTATGCACACTTCGAGACATGCATAATCCAAACGTTTCAGTCCGGGCTTTCATTCAGCGCACCTTACGAAGCAAATAACTGTAACCGTTGATTGTTGCGCAATACTGCAAACTGAAATAGATGATAATGAATTCCGGGTGGCGCAACCGCACTTGACGGGTCATTCGGTAGGTAATGTTTCAAAATTTTCTTAGGATTTGCTTTGCCCGTGAAATTCACTGTTGAAAACTTTTTTTTTTATTAAATATGGATAAAATAAACTTTAAGTATAGCTTTGAAGTTTCTTCCGGGGAAGGTAAGAGTCTTGATCAACAATTTTTTACTTATTACGGTTTTGTCTTGCTAACATCATTTCTCATTTTCTTCATAGCTCCTTATTCATTGCATCCTCATTTTAATATAATCTTTCATTCAGATTTGTCAAAGAAAGGATGGGAGAGCTTACTTCGAACTTTTTACACTGAGAAAAAAAGTTCGGTAAATCCGAACTAGTTTGGATCATATGGAACCACGATTTTGTTCGGTACACACAACCGAATTATTCGGTCTGTTCAACCGAATTGTTCGGTTTGTGCAACCGAACCATAATAAATTCTTACAGTTCGGTTCAGTGGACCGAAAAGTTCGGCTGAGCAGACCAAATAATTCGGTCGTGTGTACCGAACAAAATCTTGGTTCCATATGAACCAAACTAGTTCGAATTTACCGAACTTTTTTTCTCAGTGTAGACTTTAAAACTTTGGAATCTTATTTGCACCGCGTTTAGCAAAAAGGAACCAAGCCACATCAGCTATAGCCAAATTTGACTAGACAATTTAATTTTTTTACAAGAGAACGTTTGCGGATTCCTTTTGAAAATTTTCAGGAATTTGCTTCTTACTATGCAGAAAAGTCACTGAAATTTGCACAAAAATCCGTAGAGCCATTTTCATAGAAAATATACAATTGCCCATTAATTCGGCAATGGCTGATGTGGTTTAGTTCCTTTCTGCGCAACGCGGTCCATTCAACATCATAATTTAAAAAATTCAGAGAATTTCTGTCGCAGTTTAATCTAGTTTCTGTGAAAGTTAAATGGGAAAATATTCAAAAATTTTCTCGAAAATTAATATTCTCTAGTGAGAATTCGACAAAATTTGGATTCTCATACGGCGTTTTTCCACAGCTAGATTGATCATCCTGAACATTTTTGACCCCACAGAGACGCTTGTTGCTTTGTAGAGCGAAGAAAAATACAGACGATGGCTGTGGCGTCTAAAGTGACACTGTGAGCCACCGTTCCTTCCTCCAGAACACGATAATCGAGGTAATCAATACGTTTGACAAATCACCGAGTTGAACTGACGCATGTCAACAACCCAAATAACCAAATGAAAAAAGGCCGAGAAGGAATCAGGTTAATGTTCGATGCGGCGCGGCGGCGCTGACACCATTACGGAAACGAACTTGAGGAGTCACCGGCCCTCTAAGAGGGCGCTGCTCGAGTTCATTAAAAACGGTGTATTTATAAAAGAGATGCCCCGAAAGGCCCGCGGGGTCGGGGGGCTCGGGGCCAGAGGAGGCGGTTGTTCAAATAACGCTTGTAAATCAATTGGAGTTAACGACCTTATTAGTCAGCTAAGGAAGACATTACGGTCCTGAGCGTGGGCCAGACTGCGTTTCAGGAGAGGCTCACGGTGTCCGTGCTACGCGACCTGGTGCTCTAGCGTTTGCCAAAAGAGAGCTTTTCTAGTTTGGACCCGCTTTGGACACACGAATATCTGAAGAACAAGGTAATCAGATAATTATCATCATCATCATCGAAAATTATCATTTGTCCTCATAATCGAGCATGACTATTCAAGCTTTGAATTATCAAGCGACTTTTTAGGAGGAAGGGGGCAAATTTTTTTTAACAGAAGGGTAAATTTTCCATGGGGACAAAAATCAATTCATTTGTCAAAAAAACTGTAAAAATGATCAAAATATATTTTAAAAGAAAGATGTGAAACGCATGGGGGCAACCACCCTTATTTTTAGCCGTAAACTTTTTTGCCCTTGAATTTTTTGTCCTCGATTACTACAACTCACTACCCTAGACCACAAATGACACCGAAAAGTGTACAGAAGAGGCTATTTGTTTTGACATTTTTGAAATTTCAGTTTTTACAGCGATACCGGTAATTTTTACCTCCTAATGTTAAATTCTTAATATGAATAAATATCCACAAATATTCCGAGGGTAGCGTAGTCAGAAAGTAGTCAATGGGTTAGAGATCCATGACTAATTCTCTTGGCTGAAGGAATGAAGTTCAACTATAATTTCAGAACCAATCAAGTACCTAACAGAGGTGTGGGACCTAAAGTGTGTAGGTCAAACGCCTCTTTTTTTAAGAAGATATTCGATATCATATATTCTGTGAACGTAAATTCTCTCGCAATTTAATACCATTGACGAAGTTTCCTCACTAAAGTAAAATAAAGCGGATTGAGAAAGACAAGATATCCGTGTCTCAAGTCCGTCCGAAATTAACGACTCAGGTTTTAATTGCATTACTGGTAGTTAGTAGCTATCAGACACTGTACATTTCATTCGGTCCATGAGGGGCATTGGCCGCCACCGCCTCCTCCCCTCCCCCCCAAACTTGCGCGGTCCACGGTGGTCTGGGATTAAACTTTGCGAGTCCAATACCGCGTAATTAAGGAAGGTTTCCTGCTTTTAATTTCCTTTCGGCCCGCCAAGGTCCCGCTAGACTTGTTTGCGGCTTCGGTCTTTTCCACGAACGCTCCAAGCGTCAGGTCAGGTCAATCCTAGAACTAGTCAACTTTTCGGAGATAATTAATAACTAAATTAAATAAAGCATTTCATTTCCATAGGCATGTGGACTTGGAAACCGCCTGTTCATTAGAGCGTGACGCCATAAATCTTTGAGTCGGATCAAAATTCATCGATCATATTTAAATTTACCTAGGTTCGGCCTCAAAATATTCTCCATGGACCAACGGATGCAACCACAAGGGGGCAAGGGCCACAGTGTCGAAAAACTAAAAATTGACTGGTTCTTGCCCCTGTTGGAGGTATATTTTACAGAGGTTTGGCACGGTAAAATCCAAAAATATCCCACCGAATCGTATACTTAAAATGTTTTAAAGTTATCAGTTCAAAGAATGGAAAGATAAGTCATTTGAAGTATTCACCTACAAAGTTCTGCGTTCAAATCGTCGAATTTCAATGGTGCCGTCAAAAGCAAAAACGCAGTAACTCACTGTAAAGTCTGAATATTCTAGAGTTTCTCCCCAAAAACGTCCGATTAAAAGAGAAGCAAGGAGTATTTATATTTTAAGTTTTCCAAATGACCTGTGACATATTATCGTAAATTCAAGCTGATGAAAAAGCATGGCATGGATCAAAGTTTCGTGTATTGGAGCAGTATGTGTATGGGAGATTAATGTAGATTTGAAGTGAAATTATGGTGTTCTTGCTTTAGACGTCATGCTGCAACTTGACGTAAAACTGCAATAACTCAGCACAAAAAAACAAATTTTCCAACCCACCTTCACAAAAATCGCTCTTGAAAACAATCGCTTCCAAGAGTTGATAGCAGGGTTATAACCTCTTCTCCATAGAAAAGCAATGATTTTGAATGTTGCTGTGTGCTGGTTGTTTTCGTTAAAATTTTAAAAAAAGAGGTGAAAATGTACGCAATGGAAAGTTTGTCATGAGGTTCCGATCAAGGTTTTGAAACTACAATTGCACTGAAAAAAAAGTATGGTAACGGCTACTATAAGTCTACTTGATTTTTTACAGTCACA